GAAGCTGTAACTTTTAGACACTACTCATTAAAACACCATTTTGTTTTACTTTTGGCTCCAAGACAAAGTCTATTATATAGATGTATTTTAATTGGGATTTGAAGAATGAGTCCCAGTCATATACCTTGCAAAAACAGCTCTTGAAATAAATAGAAAAGGTTATTTATTTATTTATTGGAGGAAGCGAGAAGAGGTGCCCTATTTACAAATGCAGTCTGGCTTAAGAACAGTTTTGTTTTCCACTGGTTCCTCATTTTGAAGGTTATTTCAGCATCTGGTATACATCCCAGTCATACAAATGATTGAAAGGGGATTTTGCTGTTAAAAGCCCAGGAAAAAAGACCAAACCCAACTCCTCCCACAGAGCCAACAGGTAAGGAATGAGATGATGGGCAGAAAGTGCTGCATATTTGCTAATAGCATCTTGGTGCTGCCAATGGATGCAGGCAAATAAACGATTCCCCATGATGAAATGAGTTGTTTCTGTCTTCCCACAGGTTATTTTCCCAAGCGTTGCAGACAGGGAGGCACAAATAATCCCAAGACTGTTCTGCTGACAGCTCTAATAATCTTATTTATTATATGACAAATCTCTTTTCCGTGCTGAAATTGTTATGTCTTGATACCCCCTTCCTCTTTTGTCGTCTGGTGGCTGCTAAAATGAAACAACAGGATGAGAAATCACACCATCAAGATTTGTTAGACCTTGCCATGGGTCCTCTCCCTCTTATTTCTCCCAATTGCTGAGCAACTCAGCAGTAGCTTGCAGAGGAGGAGGAGACCATTTCAGAACAGGCAAATATTGCCTAAAGAAGCCCTGCTAAAAGCAAGCAAAGCCCTGCTGCCAAGAAAAAACCACACTCAGCTCTCTTTTCCTAGACATTTTCCTTTTCTTTAGAAAACGTTCTTTGTATCAAATCTTATCCAAAGGCTTGGGGGAAATGGAAGAAAGACTTTGAAACAGCTGAAGGTGTCTTGCAACTCCTGCTTCTGCAAGACATGAAGGACACAGGCCTCTTTTCGGCACTGTATGAGCTTCTTGGGCTCTGTTCTGCAGCACTGGGGACAAAGGGAGCTACAGCAACTCACTACATTGATGTTATTGCCAAGGAAGGATGCCACAGGATGCTACCCAACATCTAAGGAAGCAATACATCTACAGAAACAGCAAAAACTTCGCATCCGTTGAGCTGCTTTAAAATTTTTACCAAAGTCTTCACAAAATAAAAGCCCAACTTATGAAAATGAAATTAATCTAATCTACAATAAAAGGAGAAGGACAGCCTCAAACTGTCTCTTGATGTGATTCCCGAGGGATCGAGTTGCCCTCAGGTCCCTCTGAAAATAGCAGCCATGGGCATTAATGGACACATTGAACCTCAGCTACAACCTAGTGCTGACCTGAGCCATGCTAGCCCCAGACGAATGGGATCTCCTTGCCCTCAGGATGCCATCACTGTGACCATGTTGGGCTGCTCTGCTCTTACCTCCCCTCTGTGCTCTGCCCCAAAATGACCAGGTCCATAGCCAAACCGAAAATGCATGGAGAGACAACCTGGGACAACACAGCTCCAAAAATAATCCCACCTCCACTGTGGAAGAAATATTACAAAATCTCCATGCTGGATTAACACGGGTTCCTTTTGACACTGCGATCCAGGACTTAACCCCCATCATGAGTAGAAGAACAGCAAAATTTCCTTCCTTCCAGCTAAAGCCATCTCATGCTTTCTCTCCTGGGCTCTGGGAACAGAGGTGATGGCTGCACTGGGTGACAGCTACTGGTCTAAAATGCTGGTATAGAGGCAATCCCACATTATCTTTGGCCAGGACACAGGAAAATTGATGTCATGTTGTTGCTGGAGGCCACCAAAAACCAGAACTTTTCTTCTGGATGTTCCCAGCCCATGGTGGGAAGGAAGAGGGGGGGCAACATCTTTTATTTAAGCAGACTCCTTCTACCTCACATACGCAGTCAAAACTTCTGAAGGTGTTATATGTTGCTCAAATGAAACAGCAGCAAAAATACAAAGCATAGGGATAACACAAAAGGGAGACAAAACAAAGTGAAAGAGGGGAAAAAAAGGAAAAAAACAAGGAAAAAGCCCCAGTCTTGTACCTGATGCGTAGCAAACTGTACAGTATATACATCTTCATCACATATTATCCTCCTTGAAGAGCAAACAAAAAGAACTTGGTAACACAGAGGAAAGAAAAAAAAAATATACACCCTGTATTGTATTTGCCATGGAGCAAGCAACATGTTTATATGCTAGTCTCTATAACTTAATGCTGTGTAACAGCATTTTTTCTTTAAATTTACAAAACAAAATATCTATTGAGAAATAATCTAATATTGCTCTTCAATACACTTCTGTAGACTTGAAGTTAAACTTCAGCAAACTGCAGCTATTGGGAGCCCATGAATGGCTACAAAAATCCTCTGCTCAAGTCAGTCCTTGGAAGTATTACCATGTGCTGCTGTAATTCAGTATATAAAGGTGCTATATATATATACATATATATATATGTACCTCCCATGTACAACAGTGTGTGGTGGGGAGGCTTGTTGTTATCACCACTGAAGCTTAAGAGACTGGTTAACCTCACATACAGCAGATTTGTTTCCATGTTCCATGCATCTTACATTGACTTCATGAAAATGAGGACACAAACAGGAAGAAAAGGAAAACTTTAGTCAAACACTGCTTTAGAAACGCTGCATCAGAAGCCAATGTCCTTCAGGTATAGGAACCACTGAATTTCCCTTTTTATCTTTTCTTGAGTTTTTTTTAGTCAAAATAAATCTCAGGGTTAGTGTACAAAGTGCAGGACCGACCCACTTGAGGAAGCAACTTTAGAACCGAGTTACAATGGCACCATCCCATTCACCAACTGGACCTTCATTTCTTGAAGGCTGTTCATTATCTTCTTCTGGTGACCAACAAGTGTCACTCCCAGGCGTCTCAAATCCCTGTGGGAGAAAGCAGACGTTGGTTCCATGGACCTCTCAGGCACACGCTGCCGCACACACCACGCTCTGCATACGCTGAGGCTGCTGCCAGCGCCTACCCGTCACCATTGGCAGCTCCCGAAGCCAAGTTTAGTTGGCAAGTTTTATTTTCCCCATTTGTAAAAAATTTTTTTTATGGCTGACAGCATCTCAGAGAGGTGATGTGATTTGAACAAGATCACCTCACTGTCCAAGGAGAAAGGCTGGACAGCAAAGTGTCAGCATCATCTTTGGCCAAGGATTCTGCTAGGCGTGAAAAGTCCTATTTCCAAGAGAAAAGCCACGTAAGAAAGCCTGTGTTGCAGTTTCCTCTTCTCATGGGAGAGGTTAGTATTTGATCTCAGATACGAGCAGTAAGAAGTGAGGTCAATCCATGGTTCCTTTCTCTTCAGATAAGGCAAAGCCAAAGAAAAAAAAATGGCAAAAGCTTCAAGCATGGCCACCAGCCTGATGACCCCCTAAAGTCAACAGGAATTGGCAAAAGCTCCCTTCTGGGTTTTTGCAAATCTTTCCATAAACCCACATTTCGTTTTTTTGCTTTAGGTGAATTCTATAAGCCAAAGGCATTTGTGTTGAGTCTGCCTACTGGGCTGCCATCGCAGGAAAGCTGTAAAATAAGCTAGATTATGTAAAATGCAGAATCAGAAGGAAAGTTTCTTTTCTCATGAACTCAGCCCTCTAAAATTTAGGTGTACAGTTGAAGGCAATCACCACGATTCACGTGAATGGTGTGAAAGAGGCACCTCCAGGGGACAATTTATTCCATCCAAAGACAGGAGTGGGACAAGTTGTCTCCTAGAGATACTACAGCAGGACCTTGGGTAATTAGATTCAATGACACATCTAAAGCCAAATAAGGTCATCAGTTATGGCAGAGTATAATTGCATAGATTTCTTACTAGGTGGAAAAGTGTTAACAAAGAAATTGTAGGAATGAAAGCTCAGAAGAAACATCAAGACAATTGCGCGTGTGTTTCCAGCACAAGACACAGAAACTGCTAGAGAAGCAGTTTGACTTATAGGAGACATGGTGTTTTGTCTGAAGACTTCCAAAAGAGAAATATCAGCCCTTTGAAACATCCTTTACTCAGTCCAGTCTGGAAGTAGAAAGCAAAGTCAGGCCTTACTGTCCTGCCAATACACTCACAAATCCTAGACTGTTGACACGCTGTGGGCAAGTCTTTTAGGACAAAGCTCTCCACTGAAAGCCAATGAGACCTGACCTCCTTGAATATGCAGCTGTTTTTTGGAAACCATGCTGGCACATTCATGCAAAGTCTGGGGATCACCAGCAACACCTGGGAGCCCAACCATCCCCTGAGACGTATTGCAAATGTAGCCTACAGTTCATAGCACGGCTGTGTGCTGGACTGCAGGTGTACATGTGTAGTGGCCACCAAAATATTTTCACGCAACGCATGAGCTGCCCGTGGAGGCGTACCTCTCTCAGCAGCTTCACATTCTGGACAGAAACTCCTGTGCAAGAACAACCAACCATCCATATCCAAAAATTCACAGATGAACATTGCTTTGAATAAAAAGCAATCCTGAGTGAAGGCTAATACATTAACACATAAACTAGTTGAAGCCAAAAGCTAGATCTGTTGTTCTCCAAGGACTGTCATGTTCTCAGCCTTTTGATTTGGAAAATACCAGATTTTTTGCTTCAGGCTAAACATATAATTTCATTATTGTACCCTTTTTCAGCAGTGCATCTCAATGATGCAAAAGGAAATCACAATCTAAGGGGTGCGGAGCAAAGGAGGTCAATGAGACACATCAGCAGTGCTCCTTACCTGGCAGAGAAAAGGCTGCAGCACCTGTAAAAGGTCTCTACCTTCTCAGGGGGACATGCTTTCATTTCTGCCTCCACTGATTCATGAAACTAGTTCAACAAGCCATCTTAATAATGAAGGAAAATGAAGTAATGCTATTGTTACATGCAATTTATTTTATGTACACAGCACAGTTGGAAGTTCACACCAAAGATAAAAAAAAACCAACAAAAAACCCCAACAAACCCAAAAACCAACACAGTATAGGACCTGATTTTTAAAAGAGCCAACATCCATCTTCCCCCTGCTGAGTGCTGCTCTGCTGGCACTTTTTGAAAATTCAGCTTTCTTTTTCAGGTATCTAAAATGCAAGCTGAGCTCTTTTGAAAATCCAGTAGCATGTACCTCAGAGATGTATAATTTCTGATACTCTTGCATGTTGTGCCGAAAAAAATAGCCCGAAACCTTGAGAAAGGCATGTATGTCTTCACATTTCACACACAGCCCCATCAGTCTAATAAAAAACTGCCTACTCACTACAAAGCCTTTTTTCCCCCCCATATAGTTTCCCCTTAACTCAATATCCTTGAGGATTGCCTCATTGATTTACAAGAGGGAAAGAAGAAAGAAAGAGTTTCTGGTTTCAATCCATTAGCTGCTCACCAGGGGATCCAGTCTATTTTTTTTTGGAATATCAAATCCTCTCGAATGTGAAGCCACCAGCCAAAGGCATGGGGACTCCTCAGAGAGGCAAAAAACAGTACCATGGGGTCTTTCACCTCTGCACAGATGAACCAGAAGACAAAGCTCCTGAGCCAGATGCTCACCTAGTATAAAATCAGCAGCTTTATTCAAAAGCCACCTTGCGCATAGCAAAGACAACAACAAAACTTTCCAAAAACTGCCCAGAGAACATAGGAGCTTTAATTCCCATTTTTAAGCATGACTTACAGGACATTGCACCCTCCTGTGCATCCAGTGCTGAAGGACTTGAAGCAGCATAAGGCAGAAGTCAATTTTAAACAGAATTGGGTGAGCAAACCAGCTTGTTTGGGGACAAAAACCTCCCAGCAACTTCTGTACCAAAGGGCTGCAAAACAGCTGTTCTCAAGCTCCAGTCCAGAGCTGTCTGGCTCATGTTACTGCAGCCAAGTGGTAATTTCACTGGGCTCAGCTCTGCAGAGGGAGAAAAGGCACAGCTAAGACCCGTGGGCAAACAACACTTGTAATCAGGATACAGGCTGCACCTTGCTGTGGGAGTGACCCAATCCCTGGTGCTGGGTTTTGTGTGTGCTGCTGCAGCAGAGATACGTGTACCCCAGTGCTGTGTGGCCTCCCTGCTTCAAAATACTTGACCTCCCCAGCCATGAGACAACTTTTATTCTTATTTTAGGGAGAAAATCTCCCCTTTTCATTTCTTTCAGTCACACTGGGCTGAAAATGAAACCAAGCAGGAATTCGAATCCCTTGTCAACACGGTACTAAAAGGCTGATCTAAGGTGACCAAAAAGCGAAGGAAATAAAGGGGAAAATTGGTGTGGGCTCATCCCAAACAGCCTGTATACTGCTGCACGCATGCTGCTCTCTTACCACAGCCTTACACAGAAGTCCAGCTGCAACGTGACAGTGACAACACGGTATCCCCTTCCCTGCTATATCCTCCATTTGCACGGGTTGAATTCACAGTCTCCATGTTGTAAGAAATATATTTAAAACATTTTATTTACAAATAGAACTACTTGTACACCATGGACCAGTTTGCCAAACACAGTGTAGACTAGGACTGGATTTCCACATAAAACACAACCCCCTCACCAGCCAGTTAGTCATGCAAGAAAAAGGGACAGGTTCCTGAATGATCTCCATGGCTGGCAGCCATCAGCCTATCACAGATGTTTTGTATTTCATCTCCCATCCAGGCCAGATTTCACCACTCTTCTGAGCCTGGTATTACTACAATTGCTCATGCAGACTGGGACTACTCATGGAGTTAGTGAGTTGTCAGTTTGAATGGGGGGGAAACAAGAAGAACCTCAAAGACCTTCAGACGATGCTAAAGAGAGAGGAATCCACTTGCTAGGGACTATTGCATGAAATGAGGAACTTAAAAAAAATTGTTTTAAGAGTTCATCTGCTCTTATTCATAATTCCTGTTCTACTTGATTACAAGATGAGAATTTGTTCAGAAGCAGACACAGCATCACAATCTCAGGACTGAGATTTCAGGTTAAAAATAAGCATCTAGAGCAGGTGAACTCTTAAATGCTCTTCATTCAGTATAACATTTAATAAATAATTTATTTTATTTTAGAAGAAAAAATATATACAATGCAAAGCAACACAGCACATGTTATTACAAATATTCAGAGCTCTTCATCTAATAACAAACAACAGGGTGTCCTGAGATTCAGTGAGTACAGATCTTTCAAAAGGTGAAAATATGTAGTCCACATGGTTAGTAATTGGTCCAGTCAAGGATCAGACTGAAACTCATGTCATGGATCTATCTATTCTTGAGTATTGTCCTTGTAAAGTTATTCTTGCAGTGGATTGAAAGAGCTCCAGACACACTCAAAGTCACTAGGTGGTCCACAAGTTTAAAGAGCAGGTCTGGTCCACTGGAAAGGTTCCCTTCAAGTCTGATATCCAGTTGGAAAGAGGGGGTGGAGGGTGAGGCTCCACTTTTCACAAGGTGATTCATCCCTTTGCAAGAATTAGAGCTAAATGTAGAAATCACTCTTTGTTTGAACACATACATTTTCAGGTCTTTGCTTAAGCAGGCAGAGCTTAGGACTTGGGGTGATATTCATCAGTTTTTAATCTTTTGCTTTCAGAAATTTGTCACTAATACTACTCTTCCCTGAAATAAATGCACCAAACCGTTAGTCTGAAAGAATCAGGGTGGTAATCAGGATTTTGCTTTGCATGACAGGGGAGGGAGGATTAAAAAAAAAAAAAAGAAGCTGAACATCTACTATCTCAACCCTATCTCAACCACGTCCTGTAAAGAAGCCATAAGCTAGGCACCCCCACAGTCACCAGTCCTGTGAGCGTTTTGGCCAACCCCTCCTACAGCACCAGTAATTTTTTTTTTTTCAGTAGATTTTAAGAATTCTTTACATTCATTATATTTTTTTTCTCCTGCCTTTTCTGGCAGCAATTATTGAGTTCTCCTTTCTCCATCTAATTTCTAAATCTGTCTCCTACACAGTTTGAATTTGGTGAAGACCATTTTGGATGGTATTTGAAGGCAACTTCTTAAATTGTAAAGATTGTTTTACTGATGTCATTTGGGGAAAGCAAGCTTCTTTCAGATGTTCAGATCATCTTTTCACCTGATCCCCCCAAGTCCCAGCTCTGTAATATACAGAACAGTTGCCTGTATTAAAAATGACAAGGAACATTTAACCTGAATTCTCCTTCGCAGAGTACAAAATGTTTTGTTGTTCCCTTTTACAGGGAGAAAAAAATATTAAAACCTCCAGAAAACTAAAACCACCAGTATATCAACCTTTTAAGAACTTTGCTTATTCTGTTTATTTTCTGGGGAACCCATGAGAGTCTCAGCTGAGCGCATTAGGAGCCATTTTTCTCCCTTACTTTATTTTTTAAGGGCAACCTGCCAGTTTACATCAATCTGAGCATGTGGTTCAGGCCTTCAATATGTGACGCTTTCCCTCTTTAGCCACTATGATGGTTTCTCTTTTTTTTTTAATAGCTGAAAATCTGGTCTTTTGTCTTTTTTTCCTATATCTGAGAGGGATGAGAGAAGTTTTGATTTGGATGGCTAGTTGTCTTTTTAATTAGTCTTCCACTGTTTTCCCTAAAATAAACCTGAGTGGGGTCAAACCTTCTTGTTAAACCAGCACTGCAACACAAAGGTATGTGGGCTGAGAGAGAGAAGAACCAAGCAAGCATCTCTGCAAGCACCTCTGTCCACAGGTAGCTGGGGTGGGGACAGGGAATTTATTTACTGGCATGGATAACTAACTAGCTCGAATTAGTTTCAACCTTTTTTTCAGTTTCAACTAAAATGCAAGATGGATCCATGAAATGCTTCTTTTCGTTTTATAAAAACTCAAACAACCAAAATGCAGAAGCTCCCTAGGCTCCCAGGCATCAGCTTCTTTGCACCGCTCTGCTGCTGTAAAAGCCCAGAAGAAAGCTGAAGCTGAGCAGCTCAGACATGTTGTCTCCACTGGGGTGAGCAGGATGACACTTGTGCTATAGAGAACATACTGGGACCTGGTGAGGGGGCCTTAGAGGCGCTTTGCAGCTGGAGGTCAGAGCATCTCTGGCAACTATTATTTCATTGAAGACTTCAGACCAACTTGCCTTTCTGGCTAGAACTGTACAGATAATGGGTTCCTTGGTTCACTGCCAATTAGAACAACCATTTTGAAACACATTTTGGGGAGCCTGAAAAGATCTTGGGGGATATTTTTGAAATTTCTGGAATACCGAAGAGTAAACACAGGGAAATAGTTGAGTTTTAAAGTCAAATTAAGAGAAAATTTCATATCTGAAATTGAGGAATTGGGAGGTTAGGAATAGTTTTGTCAGCAGCATGGAAAGCTAAGACTGTATCAGCACAGAGGGATGGTAAGACTGTTTGAAGTTACATGACTAACTTCTAATTTGCTTTCAAAATTGCCCACTAACTTGGGCTTAAACTCAACACTTTCTCTGATCCAAACCAAAGCATTTCACTTCTGAGCATTTCATTTAGAGCTCTTGAAATTACATAAAATTCTAAAGAGGAACAAACTAGAAGCCTAGTTTTCTTTTCTGACATGGCTAATTCAGCTAAACAGCAATAAATACGTGATGTAACAACAATAAATCTGTGATGTGTTTTAGACAATCTGTATTTTCTACCAGAATTTGCTCTGGTTATAAGAATGAGGTGGTATAGTAGACGAGAATGCTCCTTTTCTCTTAAATTACTGCTTCATCCTATCCCTCTTCTTTCCATTCAACTACTAAGTATTGCTGCTGTGTGGGCATCCTGGGGATGGTCCTCTTCCTTGGTTAACATTTGTAGATTACCAATCTAAACTGTGCAGTCCTCAAAAGCCAAAGTAACACGGCATGTAATCGCAGGACTAGGCTGGGAAGCAACATGTAAGAATCTCAGGAACTCAAAAAAGGATCTAGGTAGAAATCCATGCACCCTGACTTCCCAGACAGTTGCTAGAGAGGATTTCATCCCTAGCTCAGGGTTTTCATGTAAACGCCTGAAGAAAGACTGGATGAGTCCAGGTGTAAGGGGCAAATTGATAACATGAGTGAAGCAAATAAAATCAGTGTGAGAGCAGATATGTTCCTGCACTCCCTCCATGTATGTAACGCGAAACTGAACTCCATAGAGATATCACCAACCTGCATCACAGGCAAAGGACCTCCTATGCTGTACAGTGAGCTCCACAGCAAGCCCTGTGGCAGACAGGAGGAAATGCTGCAGTTCTGTGGGGTGTGGGGATTTTTCTTGTTTTACTCTTAACCCTCGGCACCAATTCTGTATGTGCACTGGTAATTTGCATGTGGTGAGAGGAGACACAACCTTCTCCCAAGCAGCACAGAGCATAATTCTTCCCATTCTGCCCTAATGCCTGCAGTAAACTAAGCTCAAATTAACCCAGCTAGAAAGGCAGGCTTTGAAGCGAGTTTGAGAAAGCGGCAGGCAGTAGGAGAAAAATCTGGCATAATTACACAAGCAAGTCAGGCAGTTAAAGGTTGAGCATAACAAATTACCAGCCCCAAGGCATTTAGCAAGTAATTTTAGTGCTGTTGCCCCAACTGCAGTCATACTCACGTGCAAAAACCAAGGGCACATGCAGAAGAAAGAGTCTCAGCCACGAAGTCTGTCCCCTAGAGCTGTGGGTTTGCTGATGCTCTTCCATTGGCACTGGCCGTATCTATTTCTGTTACCGTTGAATACTATTTCCACGCCTTACTGGGCTTGACTGTCCACTTGGTTACATCCAGATCAACCATGAAACCAGCTAATCTGGTGTGAAGCTGGTATATCTCAGCAGGGACTCTAGCACCTATACATTTACTAGAAGGGTGGGGATTTTATTTGTTGGTAACCTCAAATAATCAACGGCTATTATGTTGAGACGATGGCCTGGCAATTACTCAAAATCATGCATTAATATCTGTGAGTAAAAGAGCCAGAGTGATGGCTGCCAATGTAGTGACTGTAAGTTTTAGTCTTGCCTGCACTTGTTATCATCAACAGAGGTGCTACATGAGAAACTGTAGACTGCAAACAAAGGGTAATATTTTCCTTTCTGCAGTCTCATCCCTGCATATTTTTGAATGGTTTGTCTTCCCCCGCCCTTCCCCTTGCAATTCCAAAAAATGAGGTGAAAATGATCTGAGCACTACTTACTCTAGGGTCACCTGAGCCACTGCATCCATTGAACTGTATCCATTCTCCATGAAGATCTCTGTGTATCGGCCCATTTTGATGGCTTCCAGCCACTCACCCACCGACCTGTAGGCACCACTCCCAACTGGACTGTGCTCCACCAACAGATTTGATACTCTAAAGACAAGCAAAAACAAAGAAGCAAACAGAATCAGTATCGAGATGTACACAACATGACTCAAGTTACTTGTATTTTTATATGGTAAAGATGATTCTCTTGCTCCATTTTCAGTGGTTGCTGCAGCCTAAATCCTCCCAGCAGGCTTGTTATGCAATGTATCAAACACATCACTTCACCTGTAACTTCATTCACTTTTGAGTTCCTGCCATTTCTGGTCATACCAAAAGCAGAAAAAGGAGGGAAGATTGCTGGGGTCCATCAGTGCTGGTCACTTTTCAAGCAACACCCCTGAGGGCACAGGAACAGGCAATTCCCAAATGTCAGAAGTCAAGCAGACAAGGCAGAAGGCCAGCTTGGTTGAGCAGCAATCTCCTTTGGAGCTAAGGCAAAAAAGGAAGGTATATGCCAAGTGGAAGCAAGGTCAGGTGACGGGGGAAGAATACAGAGATTCTGCTTGCCACCGTAGGGAGAAAATTCATGAAGCCAAAGCTCAGCTGGAGTTGAAGCTGGACAGAAATATGGGGGACAATAAAAAGAGTTCAAATATATTAATAGCAACTGGCAGTATAGAAATAACATCAGACCACTACAGGATGAGGATAGTCACCTCACAAACAGGGACAGAGACAAGGTAGAGGTGTTTAATGCATTCTTTGCCTCTGTCTTCAGCATGGATGACAGACCAAGGGGATCTCAGTGCCCTGAGCTGGAGGACCATGACTGTGAGAATGACCAATTCCCAGTCGACCCTGAAATTGTGCAGGATCTGCTGCTCCAGCTGGATCCCTCCAAATGTATGGGGTCTGATGAGATTCATCCAAGAATCCTCAAAGAGCTGGCTGATGTATATGTAAAACCTCTCTCAATGATTTTTGAGCAGTCTTGGGAATCTGAAGAGGTCCCAGCTGACTCAAAGTTGGTAAACGTTGTTCCAATTTTCAAGAAGGGCAAGAAGGAGGACCCTGGAATATGCAGGCCTGTCAGTCTCACTTCAGTGCCTGGTAAAGTCATGGAGAAGATTATTCTGGGAGGTATCGAAAAACACCTGAAAGACAACACTGTCATTGGTCACAGCCAGCACAGCTTCATGAGAGAAAAGTCCTGCTTATCAAACCTAATTTCCTTTTATAACAAGGTAACCCACCTAGTTGATCAAGGGAAGACAGTTGAGGTGGTCTTTTTGGATTTCAGTAAAGCTTTTGATACTGTCTTTCACAGTAGCTTTCTGGACAAAATGTCCAGCATATCTGGATAAACACATCATGTGGTGGGTGAACAGCTGGCTCAGGGGTCCGAGCACTAAGAGTAATACTGAATGGGGTTACATCAGGCTGGCATCTGGTCACTAGAGGACTGGTCACCTAGGGCTCCATCTTAGGCCCAGTGCTCTTCAACATCTTCATGAATGACTTGGATGTAGGACTGGAAGGGATACTAAGCGAGTTTGCAGATGACACAAAACTGGGAGGAGCTGTTGACTCCCTTAAAGGCAGGGAGGCTCTGCAGAGAGACCTTGACAAATTAGAGGACTGGGCAATCACCAACCATTCAACAAGGGGAAGTGCTGGATTCTACACCTGGGATGGGGCAACCCTGGATGTACACAGAGACTGGCAAATGAGATGCTGGAGAGCAGTGCTGAGGAAAGGGACCTGGGGGTCCTGGTCAAGTCATTGTGCCCTGGCAGACAGGAGGGCCAACCATGTCCTAGGGGCATCAGGGAAAGCGTTGCTAGCCAGTTGAGGGAGGGGATTGTTCTGCTCTGCTCTGCAGTGGGGTGGCCTTGCCTTGAATATTGTGTGCAGTTTTGGGCACCACAATATAAGAAAGATATTCAGCTACTGGAGAGTGTCCAAAGGAGGGCAACAAAGATGGTTTAGGAGAAGAGGTATGAGGAGCAGCTGAGGTTACTTGGACTGTCCAGCCTGAAGAAGAGGAGACTGAGGGGAGACCTCATTGCAGTCTACAACTTCCTTGTGAGGGGAAGAAGAGGGGCAGGCACTCATCTCTTCTCTGTGGTGACCAGTGACAGGACCTGAAGCAAAGGCCTGAAGTTGTGTCAGGGGAGGTTTAGGTTGGATATTAGGAAAAGGTTCTTCATCCAGAGGGTGGTTGGGCACTGGAACCTTCTCCCCAGAGAAGTGGTCACAGCACCAGGCCTGACAGAGTTCAACAAACATTTGGACAATACCCTTGGGCACATGGTGTGACTCTTGGGGATGGTCCTGTGCAGAGCCAGGAGTTGGACTCGATGATCCTTGTGGGTCTGTTCCAACTCAGCATATTCCGTAATTCTGTGATCCCTGCTACAAGCAGGCTCCCCCAGTCACTCTGAATTCAAAGTCTTCAGTTTCACTCCTCCTGCTCTGTTTTCTTCCTCTGCCTTTAAAGCTCATAATTAACTTAAGGCAGCCCAGAGCCTGGAAGCTGAAACCCAAATTACATTTCCCGGCAGTGTCCATCAATGGCAGGCTGCTGTTAACACTTCAGAGGCTGCTCCTGCACAGTCATGTGGGAGTTTCAGATGCAGACAACATCCAGTGAGCCCTGCAGAGAGCAGCAATGCTCCAGCCATGCTCCAGCCCTGAAACCAGAGGTAAACTGCTCCCTCACTCCAGACCTCGCCATGGCAATTGCTACCTGCTCAGTTATGCCATGCACGGAAGAAGCAATTCAGGCAAATAATAACCCTTCACCATGGCAGAAGCATCGATAGAGTACCTAGCACAAGCGACTCGTGCCACAGACAGGTCCACCACCCTACTAATGATGTGCAGAGAGCAGAGAGAGCTTGTCCAAGGTCAGCCAGGAAAGAAACTAGATTTGCCGCCTGCTTTGTAAAGCGGGACATACAGCTAACATAAGCCTAGTGTGAAGATTATTATCCACAGGTAAAAAAACATTTTCTGGATCAGCCTCTGATGGTATTACATTTATAAGACTTTCAACTAGAAGGGGAGCTGGGATATTATATTATTATAGCACTTTAGGAATATTCATATATTTTATGAGCACATTAGTATTATTTGTTTACTTAATAGCAATGCTGAAGGGTCCAATAAAATGTGAATACTTGCAGTACCAGGAACATAATGGCTTCCCATAACATTTTATACACATGAGAAATTCAAAACTCCTAAGTAATCATAATGAGAAGTGGATTTTCATCACTAATGTCAGGAGGTACCTACTGATATGCACATGCTGTAATGTAGAGAGTGAATTCCTCCCTTATTTGCATTAATGAGAATTTCCATAAAGAACACATTACATATATAAAAAAATACTTTACAGCTGCTCTACGTTGAAATTATGATTCATTTTGAATACTATGTTTTGGGCACAGCAATCTATGAGTACGGAAATACAGCCCCAAAGCCTGGCTGCTCAGGTGCTCCATCCATATCAAAAATACTCACAGCAGCTCTGAAAGGCAGAGGATTGGAATTACAGGGACCTGTTCATGGAATAAAACATCAGCAAAATGCTTAGCAGCTCAAGGAAATGGTTTGCTGCCTACTCTCCTCTTTTCTGGCATAACAGTTTGGTATAAAAGTGTGCATGAGCCACTGCATAACAGGTCTGGAAAATAACTGTTCTGAACTGAAAATAAAAGAAAAATATCATATATTTTATGCTATCATAAACCTTTTCCTGCAGGTTTGCTGGCACTGACATTACATCTAATTGCTAATAAGAGTAATTTCTTCTTCAGACAGTAAATGATGCATGTAAAATAGCCCAAGGAATCAGATCCATCTTGTATTTAAAAATTAACAGAGATTTCAGGTTCTTCTCTTTTAGTGCATGAAATGCCAAATGTGGGGACATGCCACTGTGGAGATGTCCAGCTGCAACAGGTGAAATGGGCCACATGTAGCAGTGCAAGACCTACTTGGAAGGTGTGAAGACAAATGACTATAAGCTTACAATAGTATATCTGTTTTGGTCCACACCACCAGTCTAACCTCAACTTATTTCCCTCATATCTGTCCTAGGAAAACAACATCTCTTTTTTTTTCCCTTCTCTGAGAATAAGTCTTTCTGAAGGGCCTTATCCAGTGTTAATTAGGGGAGCTCCACTGCCACCAGTGAAGGATCAGTGATATACATATTCATTACTCCTTCATGACCTTGCAAGGGACTGAGTGATTAGCAACACTGATGGCTCACAGAAAAAGCCTGTCCAAGACTCCAGTATGGTGGAGAAGCCAGTACTAAAACTCATTAAAAAATATTCAGCTCTTTTTCCCCAAGTGCAGCTTTATTTCTTGACTGTGCTTACCTTACTTGTAGCTGTGTAGCCATTCAGATTCATGTTTAAATGCAAACTGGCTGCTCTATTTATTTAATGTTGTTTTAGCGAAGTGTTTGAGTGCGTTAGAAACCAAAAAGATCCTCTCATGATTACCAAATCTCTCACAACTTTTAGCAGTGCCTAGCACGCCTGGGAGTAGTTGTGAAAGGATGTACCTGGACATCTCTGAGCTTTGCACATCCAAAAAGTTTAGCCAAGAGATACTCTTCATTTGTATTACCAAAATAAAGTCAACAGGCAGACAATTTGAGCAGCATTTACTTCATGCACTCAAGCCTTGCTGTCTCTAACCTTGGAGTAGAGCACAGGTAGCTTTATCATAGACCTATAAATACTGCTGAAACTCCTGTTTCTAAAAGACAGACCACAGTAATTTTCTTTGTCGCAGCAGCACTGCATTTAAAGTAAGTGAACTGCTCACCTGGCTGCCGACTGCAATAGAAAAAGTTGATTTGAGAAAACTCTCCTGGACATAATGAAGCTGGAGGAACATCCACCCACAGATGCACATAGGCTAAATAATCAGAGAGAATTCAACCCCAGAAGTGGGTATTCAGACAAGGAGCTTGATCTGAGAAATGGTTCTGGCTTGCGTTTGTACCTGCTCGATGCATTAACCAACGTCTTCAAGCTGCTTGGGTTACGGATGAGCTTGTCCAACATGCTGACAATTTCGTCAAACTTGGGCCTGCTGTTGCGGTCTTTCTGCCAGCAGTCGAGCATTAGTTGGTAAAGAGCAGCAGGGCAGTCCATGGGACTTGGCAGGCGATAGCCTTCCTCCACAGCTTTAATCACCTACGGGAGACAAAACACAAGGCTTTTCTTCCTCTTGCCTTTTTCCCAAATGCAACTTGACTTAAATACAGAAATTTGGAACCAGCAATAGACTCATGTAGAATCCTGCCACACCCCAATTCTGTCTATAAAAGGCAAGTCCACTGAACCCTCTATCTTTCATATTTTCTATGGGATGTTGAATAACTCAATTTTTGGTCACTGCAAAGTAAATCTAGAAAGCCAAGGCACTGCTGCAACCAGGGGGCCAGACTGTCAGGTTGTACTTGTTCAAAGCTCAGTTGCGGTCAATAGGTTATATGGCAGGAAACTCTTGGAGCCTATGCTAAGTCCACAAAAAGCAACCTACAGAGCTTTCTGGCATCTTCATGGAGTGCACTGATTTTGTTTATTCAGATGTTGGTTTCTTTTTAAATGAAAAGGCATGTGCTAGACCACAAATTTGTATTACAGTAATAAACGTCTGACTGTATTTCAAAAGAGACTTTGAATGCTAATTGATGGATGGATTCAAGGCAGAGGCAGAACAACCATCTCATATATCATTCAATACTGTCTGGGTCTAGTCGTTTCTCAGTGTGGCCGCATTTCTGCCAGGAATTTAAAATGTCAGCCCAAGAGTATGTAAATTAAAACCAGGGGAGTTGTTGCACTGATTTCAAATACAAACCATCTATGGTTTTATATCTAAAACAAGTGGTATGCACATGTGCTGCCTGCCCTCTTGAAAGGCAGAAATGAATAAATGAGGGCAGAATTTAAGAAAGCAACTTGTTCTCCCCAGTTTGGGGCAGATTTACAGCAGGGCTCCAAGCCCAGCAGTTCCCATTTTGAACCATTACAATTTTCAGGAGAATGCAGCTCACATTTCAAGCCACAAGGGTCTGCGTCTGTGCCAAGAGAGTTCCAGCAGCCCATCTTCACACCCTCTACTCCCAAGACTCCTTGACCAAAAGAGGGTGGAAGCAGATATTTGCTATGTGGAAAACCACAGTGCTTCACTGTGGGACTCCAAGAACTGAATGCCACAGATGACATTCATTCTAGGCACCGTCTCATGATTTGAAAACATCCTGTGTTTAAAAAGAAGGCTAAGGTGTTAGGATGGAAGTTGTTTTCATGGTCTTTAGACCTAGATGAGCAGTACAGGAAGAGCTGCATCAAGTTGGCATTGCATTTCAGAAGGCTCCAAAATTCAGGATGGCATGAATTGCTTTCGAATTGTTCTCCACCACAGAGCTTTTTGTTAAGTGGAAGAGTCCTAGGAATGAGCCAGGCTGGCTGAGCAGCAGTAGCAGGAACCTCAAACTCCCTAAGGATGTACGCAGTAGAGAGGCAGTTAGGCGAGGCTTTATGATCTCCTCCAAGGGTAGCGAGCACATCTGAAGATCTCGGCCACAATGTATGCAGTCTTTGTGCACCCATCTAAGATTTCATCTGTCAGTGGAGCAGTTGCACCACTCTCCACCCAACCTACACGTGCAAGACAATCTCTTCTAAGATCTGGCTGTTGCTCCCAGCATCAAAACCCAGCCCCACCACAGTATGGTATCTGCACTGTCTGTTCTTCACATCGTGCTTTCCAGCTGGTCCCTGATTCCAAATTTGCAGCTGCCCTATAAAAAAAGCCTTGGTGTGGCACAGCCATGAGAATATTATTTGCTGTGTCCATGTGTGTATTTATAACAGTAATGGATCCCCCTCCAGCTGCAGCAGAAAGAAAATAGTAGCAAGACAGGGAGCAGACCATCTGGCACCAGCTCAGAATATCTGAACTACATCTGCAGTGGGGTTATGCGTGTTTGATATTCCTGGCAGTAACAGCACAATCAATAGTGTTAACTCAATTTACAGGATGTCGTTCATCCTGGCCATACAATGTAAATGGTGTCAAAATACTGCGAGGAGCTAGGACGCTGAAATACCCTCCTGCATCTGAAGGTACCCTCTGAGTTCTAGCAATAAGATGAGCAAAAGAATGAAACAAAAAAGACTAAGTCACTTGTAGTCAACACAATGCTTAGAAAATGAGAAAATGGCACATTTGCTGTTCCATTCATTGGTGTGTACTGCTTTGTAAGACTTGAGGAGCTAAAATTTGCACCTAAGGAGGTATTTTTGTCCCTCTCCCTCTTCTGGACAAGTATTACTCACTTATGGATTGGGATATCTGAACCGGATGTTTGTGAGAGGACATTTGGGATAGTCCATTCCAGTAAACCAAAGCAACGCTTTTAGCTCTGTGTTTCATAAACCCACCACTCCGAATACTATAAAGCAACCACTATGATCATTTATCTTAGCAACCTGTGCAACACGGGTCACGAAATTCCTCTCAACGATTCCTGCATCAAAGCTTTATCTTGTGGTCAAACCAAAGCATATTTTTAGAGGGCCATCTAGAGAACAGTATGACTTTAAGATGTGGTTTGTGGCCTTTGCAGTTACAACACTGCTACCCTCTTGCACTGCACCTCCTTTAAAGCAATCCATCTGTAACATGGTGAGAATAATTTTTCTCATCATCAATTCTGCTTGCAAATGGTGTCCTTTAATTACAAGCCATGCAACAAGAAACTCTGGTGCAACTGAGTCCAAAACTCATGTGACCCCTTGGTCCTCTGCACAAAAGCCAATGCTGAATTGCAAGAGGAACATGCCCCAGCCCTGAATTAAGGTCCGAGGCCACCACCATCCAGGCACTTGCCATCTGCACATAGGCAGAGGCAAGTAACACACAGAGGTTACACAGGCAAAGCTTGAGCAGGAACTGATGCTCATAAATATCTCACCAGTCCTCTGCTTTCTGCTTTCACACCAGGCAAGTGTGAAATTCACTCTATGCCCCACAGTGTATGGAGGCATTTGGGTTTTTTGAAACAGTTCTGCAAAGTGTGGATGTTCATATGTTATGATCCAGACAAGGGACTCCCCTGGCCATGGAGCATTATTTCACTGGCACCAGCCTTAATCTTAGCCTGGCATTTACTGAACAACATCTGTGCCATGCCAGTGCATCAGCACTAAAGATAGTTACAGTGCTCAGTGTGAGTGAAAAAGCTTGGCTCTCAAGTGCTGCATTCTCTGTACAGACTATGGAAGAAAGTCTGTGCATTTGATTGAGATAAATCCCTGTGTAGACACATACTGCTGTACCAAACTTCCTGCAAATGTGACAGTCTCAGCAATGCAGAAGCGATGGGGCATTCATGCCAAACAACGTGCTCAGGTGGCATGACCGTCTCAAAGGTACCACCCGCTTCCATGCCTGGACTCAAAGTGAGATGAGACAGCAGCTCAGCATGACAGGTAGTAACATCCACTGATGGCAAAGGCTCGCAAAGAAAATGCAGGAGATGCAGGATGCTCAGCCAGAGCCTTTGCTGCCAGTGAAACGGCAGAAAGTCATGGCGATAGGGATGTTGCTCAAAAAAAGAAGAAAGGATAAAACATCAGATGATGTGATCAGAGGAAACCCATGGTGAAAACCCATCCAGAGGTAGGATCTCCACAGGCAGCAGGGCTGCCCCGCATACCTCATGGTGAATCCGACCTCATGCGTTAGTTGGCATCCTCAGAGACCTTCACTGTCATGTTCTTGGAGATGTGAAGAGGAAGGAGGGGCCTAGAAAATCTGGCAACCCCAGGCTTAAGTTTTTTACCCTTGGACAAGAACAGATTTTGATGGTGAGCTCAGGGTAGAATGTAGCCCTGAAGTAGGAACAAGAGATCCTTAGCCAGGCTGGGATTGGAGCTGAAGTCAGACAGGAGACAGTGTCCCCAGGCACGTCCCTGTTTGGAGATGCTTCAGAGGGTGGCCTTCAGGTTAGAAGCTCAAGGAACCTCGGAGCAAGGGGACACTACTTGAAGGGTAGTGTACAAATGAATCATAAGAGCTTTTGTTAGCACAAACTTACAAGATGTTCACAACAGGAGCAAAACTACTCTCTTGAGATCAGCAATGCATGAACAACCAAGATGCAGCTCTGTGAACTGCTGTCATTAGATCAAATCACCCAGCTTTTGTGCACGGAAACAAAGCCCTTACCATGACTCCCTTGAGTTGCTGCTTTACATGGCAGCAGGGGTTTGAACACACGATTGAAATGCTGCCAGTTTATCAGCTTCTATTCCCTGGCAGGCCTTTGTCATTAAGCAGAGGAGGGACAGGCTCCAGCTCTAACAACATTAGTGAAGCTCCAGCAGTCTGCTGGGGGAAGCAGGCTTGCCTCTGTGCAGACACATTTCCCTCTGTGCACAGCCTGTTCTGGGTTGCTGCAAAAAAAAGGAGCATCAAATGGGAGGATCATTTCTGTCTGGCATGGGGGACCAAAGCCATTTTTACAGCAGCTGTCCTCATCTTGTCCCCACTCTGCCTCTCTGATTGCAGAATGAATGCTGAGCCTCAAAGTCCCATCACACAGCAACTCTCACACGTGCTTACATCTTGGTTTGTCATTTCCCAGTAAGGCCTCTCGCCGTAGGACATCACCTCCCACATTACTATGCCATAGCTCCAGACGTCGCTGGCCGATGTGAATTTGCGGAAGGCAATTGCTTCAGGTGCTGTCCATCGGATGGGGATCTTCCCTCCCTAAAAGGAAAATAAATGGAAAAAACTCACAAAAAACAGATTGCAGAGGAGGGTAGAGAACATGCAAAAGAAGACGAAACAGTTCTCCTCAGAGCACCAAGGGATGTTATTTTCTCTCTGGAAAGAGACATCGAATTTTAAAGTAAATCTGTTTGACAGCATGGGGCCCCTTTCCACATTATCTCAGCCCATAAGCATTTGTAGGCTGCCTACTAATTGGCTGTCCTGAAGGTTTGTTGTTTGAATGTTGTTTGAATGCTGGGACATGTATAGGATCAACATCTCAATTATGTTGCACGGGTTGGTAAGGGAATACAGTTCCTCCATTTCTGAGAGCGAGCGGGGGAGGAACAGACAGCTCTGAAGCCAAGGAAGACTTTGATCTAATGAGGACTTCATGCAAATTGCTGCAGAAGTAATGCCTTTTTTTTTTTTTTTAAATGCAGTCCCGATCCTGCAGAGGGATCTGTGTAGGCACAGAAATCTGTGTGTGCAAAGACCAGCCTGCTTAGCCTCTGCTGTGGGACTGAAGATGATGCCACAGCTGTCAAATGTGCTTTGCTGTTTCCTTTTCCCCTTTCTATCATTTTAGAAATCAAACTTCAGACCAGCTCTGGGAAGGAAAAGGGGAGATAAAGGGGATTCTGGACTAAGGAATACTTTTCTCATTGGGTTTAAAGAGTTGTCTCCCATGATTTATTAAAAAAATATTTACTGTGAAGTCCCTTCCTCTTACTGTTGAGCTAAATATTGCAAGGTCTCCCTGAATGCCCCCTCACAGTGTTTGTTATTGGAAAAATAACAGGATTTGGAACATGCTTCCAAAGCAACTTTTACAAAGTCTCTTCTTCCAATAATTATTCACAGCCTTATCAGGGCATGCCTTAAGTGAAGGGCCAGATTCTCAGCAGTGCCAATTAGCACATGGCAGCACACTGCAGCTACAGCAGGGCTGGCCGAGAGCCCTCCAGCCTGCAGGGAAGTGCTAGTCCAGCTGTGCACTGAGTCCCATTGCGGGGCTGTGACTGCCAAGAGCTGAAAGACCTTTCCCAGATCTCTGCAGGAACTGGCAATGTGACTTGAAAGAGCTCCCACCACCCGCAAAACAATACCCTTGGAAAAACACACTAACAGGACACGTCCAGGTGTGCCAATCACTGCCATTAATATTGGAGGTTCTCTCCAAGTCTGTGCTGCTGAGGATGGGTCCTGTCCACTCCCCCTCTTCAGTGCTGGGGCCATGTGGCCTTGCAATAGGATAGGTGGGATGATGTCCTGAAATGATTGACCGAGGATGAACAGGGGCAGAGCACTGAGGCTGGAGAAGCTCTTTCTCGGGTTGGGAGAAATTACCTTCAAATTACTCAGGGTAACACTGGAGGCAATGTGCATTATTTGCAATGGGCATTCATTACACACTTACCAACATTTTAAAACAGTCAAATTATTCCAAAGATCATGGTTTACGTCTCCACATGGGTACCCGAGCAAAGCAATTGCTCTTTCCTCCCTTTAGTATTCACCAAAGAGGTCAGAGTAGAGCTGGAAGCATGGCAACTTTGCAAAGCCTGCTATTTGACTCATGTACCCAACCTGAACCTGAAAGTTATTAATGAAGTTCTGCCTTATTTGGCTATCCCCACTATAAATTTAAGGCTTCTGCAAAAATAATCTGATAACAATTAACTGTTAACGTCAGATCAAACCCTCATGCACAGTTTAGAGGCCCTGGATTTGTAGAAACCTCTTTGCTACAGAGCCTGAACACTAAAATGTGGCAGGGAATAAGGTCTTCTTGATCTCAATCCTAACTAAATCCTCCTAACTCACCCTGGTTGTGTATGCTGCTTCAGGGTCATCTTCTAGGACTCTGGAGAGGCCGAAGTCTGACACCTTGCAGACTAGGTTACTGTTGATCAGGATATTCCTGGCAGCCAGATCCCTGTGTACATAACCCATGTCAGACAGGTACTTCATTCCTGATGCAATGCCTCGTAGCATCCCAACCAGCTGAATGACTGTGAACTGCCCATCATTCTTCTGCAAAAGGAAGGAGACATTTGATGAGTTGAGAGTCTCTGCACCCTCAGGATTGTGTGTGCATGAATAAAAATGCAAAGGCAAGTCTCCAGGGAAGAAAATCAGGAAAATTAATAATTCATTACTTCCACACTCTGACCACGAAGCTTTTCTAAGTTTCACTGTTTAGATTAGGATCTCTAGAGACAAAGCTAAGGAAATGTAGTTCTTTTAACTGGAGATCAAGGAGCAAGCTGTTTCCAGTGGTGACTGATAAAGAGACTGTGACTGGGAGTGAACACTTGTAGCTATGTGTATAAGGGAACCAGGATGGGCTGTTTCTCAGCCAGCCCAACTGAATGGTATCAAATTGCAAAATCCTACCTGTAAAATATTCACACGTGAATATTTGGGGGTAGGGGCTCTTCCTCATGTTGTCACATTGCATTTCTAACCACTTCCCCTATCTTCCCTTTTCTAGCTCTTACATTTCATGGAAAAACTCTGTCAAGTTTGCCATGATGCAGTGTGGATGTGCTCTTGAAACATCAAATTTTTCAGGAGAAGTTAATCATTTCCATGCAGGTAACTGCCTTCTAAAATAAACATAATATCCTCCAATTTATTCCTGTCTGTTCGTATCAATGCATGCACCAGGTCTTTCATGATGCTGTGTAAATGTAGATCAAACAGACGACTGAGTTACTCCTCCCTCCAGACAGCACCAGTACCCAGCAAACATTTTCATTGATATTAATCCTCTGTAAACAACCCAAACCTTAACCAAGGTCCCTCTGGAAAAAGAATCTAAGTATTACCTTTAAAAATGTATCCAGAGAACCATTCTCCATATATTCAGTCACTATCATTACTGGTTTGCCTGGAAAAAAAAAAAGTGCACGAGTTTGTAAGCAATTCATTTAAAAAACATGAAAATACGGAAGTCTTTTCATAGTGCATCTGCATGTGAATATACAGGCATGCAACAGTAAATCTACACCAAGATACTGCTGTCCCAGCAAGAGGACAAGTGTTTTTTCCCAGAATATATACAGAAGTAGGGGAATTGAGGAGGAGGGGATGAGAAAGTAATCCCATATTGTTAGAGGTACCAAGCCCTAGAGTATTTAGATGATGACTGAGTAAGAGGCTGCAAGCTGAACCCCGGCAACCCTCTTCTCAGCTTCACCAACAAGCTAAAAGTTTGCAGAGGCCAAATTGCACACAGCAACCTCTTTGGACTCCTCCCTAGAGCTTTAACACCCTGAAGTAACAACGGGAGCCCAAAAGGAGCAACCAGGACGATCTGAAGCTCGAGCTTGGTAGCCACCAAAATCAAGAGCAGGAAAGGATGGGATTACATCCCTTCTAATTCATGTAATCCCATGTGACTACCCTTGTAAACACAACTGGAAGTAAGAAAAGGAATATTTATGTTGCAGAACAAAAGCTAGTTAAGTATGGAATGAGTGCAAGTGGAAATCAAAGTTCTTAACAAAAGATCTGGTCTCCTATTGTTGACAGGAATAATAATGTTTTTCCAAATCTGTTTGATTAATTTTCATGCCCGAGTCATTTTAATGGTAATTATATATAGTTTTTCCTCAGTTTTTATATCTAATTTCTCGCTAGCTTGCCACAATGGCATAGCAATAATTAATGTGGTGCGCTCCATTCCTTGTAAATTCAATGAAATCTTATAAGAACATGTAAATTATTTTTTATTTAAATCAATTTCCATTAGCTAGCAAGAAGCACAGACAAAAGAGGAGCTGCCAATTATTTGTAAAGTGCATTATAAATGTCTTTCATAGAAATGATCAACGAGAGCTGCTGTGTGTCACAACATGCACAGGAAGGTAAATACTAAAAATCGGCACATATTCCACCATTTAGATAGATCCTAATTTTTCCCACTTTACCATTACCTTAACTATTTTACCTAATTTACTGCTTAATTATCTACACAATAAAGGCAATTTTGAAGCTGTCCATCAAAATACTCATTGCTGTGCAAACACTACCTTTGCAGCATGAGAGACCTGTGCTGCTTTAATGCTTTTAAGTTCCTACCACAGCTATTGCCTGAGCTTGAAACTTGCCAAAAGTATTATTTTTAATATGAGAAATGCACTTTGGGATCATGAAAAATATTGAGTCCCAAATAAAATAACTGGCCCCATCTTCAAGGATGACAGCCATCTGTCTACGCACAACATGGGCTACACATGGGAGGGAGCCATTGCTATTGGTTGGCAAATGTGTCAGTGGATTTGCAGGGAAGAAAAATCCCAGGAATGCCTCAAATTTAATTTTTTTGTTGTTTTTAAACACTAAACACTCGTCTGTAGCATGGTGTCCCTTATCTCTGACACTTCAAGGCAAGCATTGCAGTGAGAATGGTGTCTCATTACGCCACCACCCTGGGGGACCTCCTCCAGACTCCTGCCTTTGGCTGCCATCAGAGAAAAGAAAACAAGATTTTTGGCACTTATGTTTCATTATCTGAATGCTGCAGGTTGACAGTAATCATGGAATAAATTAACCCCATATCCAAGAGCATGGAAATAAAGACACAAATAGATAGTTTTCAATGAAGTAAATGAAAAGTAAACATTGGCCCTTCTAAAGCACTGGGCTGACTCTCTGCGTCAGCAGGGCTCTCTCCTGCTGGCATTACGTGGCCATAAAATGTATGTGGATGACACCCATATCAAAGTACTAATGCAACGTGCGCACCATCAGCATGACAATGGCATGCAAATGAAAACAGGACTGTCACTACCTTTGTAGAGCAGAAATAGCTAAGGGCTTGTCTGCAAGGGGACAATGAAGATGGTTAATCCAAATTAACTCAGGCGTGCATTTGAACTATATTAGTTAAATGGTATGAAGCCCCTGCATGATATTATCTTTCAGAATTAAAAATGGCCTAATTCGATTTCACTTAATTTACTTCCAAAATAAATCATGATGCAGCAAAGACATTTTACCCTAAGATCTGAATCTACAATAGGCCAATGAATGAAACACTGAAGGGAAAAAGAAGTTAAAAAATACTTCGAGACAGCAACATAGTTTGTGATTCATGAAGGTTGTTTTAGTGCATGTAAAAGAAAAGAAAAAAAGCTGTGAAGACGCTGCTGGAAGAAATTCTGAATGAAGTAAACTAGTATGCACTGAGCTAATGACAAACTAAGGGTGCATGCACCCACCCTGCATCCAAACTCCAGTTGCTCCAAGTCTAATTTGGAAGCAGAGCTTCTGGTGTTTCCACAGTCTTTGGAGCAGACAGCCACTTTATATAAAAGGCAGCTTGCTAGGGAGGCACATTCTCTCTGAAAGTTTGATTTCCCACCCACCCCCAGAGGCCCCAGTGGCCAGAAAGACTCAAGCCCATGCCAATAGCAGCTTTCATGGATGTCTAATCATCAGGCTCTTCCTGCCCAATATTCCACATCCCTGGAGGACTAAAAATTGGAGCTTTTATGTATTAAGAGTTACACAAGGTGCCCCTGAGAGATTTTGATATTTATTCAATTTTTAGGAGAAATCTATTTTGCTTATTTTTTTCTTCTCTTAAAAGTCTTAGGAAATGCAATTTCATGGGAAAAAATGCAAGAAAAGGCTGCTGATTGCAAAACAGCATTGATTCTGTGTAGGTTATAAGGATGTGAACCAGACAAACAGCTAGCATCTCTATACCTTGCCTAGTGCAGCTCTGAAAAAGAACTAATGTCGGAGACACTTCCTCTGATTAATGACAAATAGTACCAAGAGCAGCCACATGGCACCAAACACCGCCCCTTGAACAGTAGTAACTAAGCTCTGATGTTGCCAAACATTAAGACAAGAGGGAGACAGCCATTCACGCTTGTGAGGCTGGTGCTTCTGCACTTAAGGGACACCTTAAAATAAAGTAGTAGCTCTTTTCAACAAAATAATCCTTGATGCAAATAATGTAGATCCTTCAAGGCTTTAAAATGAATGAGTAACAACACCTTTGCACATTTTCGACAGCCTCAGCACAGCACCAACAGCCAGAGAGGCTTGGACTGGGCACATTTGGATGTGCTGTCCCTTTCCCTGCCCTTATCTTCAGTGCATACAGTAATTCGGAGAAGAACTGCGCTGGGAAAGTTATGGAAGGTTTTGCTAACTGAAAAGTCAGATCTCAGTAACTCTTGTGCTGAGATGTTTTGCCAACATTTCACATTTTCCTCAAGCCCTCAACTCCACTCATAATCTATATGCCAGCATCATGAGCAACTACTACCAGGGGCATCACTATCAGATCCCAGGGGGACCTTGCCTTAACTGTGGTTTTATACAGTCCTGTCATTTTCAGCTACAATCTCGTTCTTCTTCTCTGCTTCTGGAAACCTTCTGTTCTTGCTCACATCCTATGTGAGTGATCACTAGACCATCAGTACTACCCTCTTGTGGGCTTTGCTTCAGTGGTTTCTCAAAAGATGACCGCTGGAAATCATCGGGGGTTGTGGGATGGGTTCCCCCCCTCTCCCAGACTCTTGGTAGCAAAATCTTCCTCATTTTCCTGCCTGAGAAATCATTTTCTACTTCCTAGTACATCTTTGCTCACCCTGGGGATCACGTGGTTTCAAAAGTGAACAAATAAACGCAGAAATGAGAGGCAAGTCTGCTTGGAAAACTTAGTGGTTGGCTTGGTGTTGCTGGGTTCGAAATGCTCTTGCATTTTGCAGGTGGTATTTGCTGCTAAACTACTTGCAAGGCACTGGCATCCAGATATCCCAGGCATATTGCCATCTCTATCATCTACATACTGCATGAGACTGGCCAAAAACACCTCCCATTTCTGTGTCATTTGATTTTGGGCCTTCAAAGAGGGGTTTGCTCTTAAACCATGCATATTATGCCAAAGTGAGGCAAGGTCTGCAGAGGCAGTTACAGTTTCGTATCATTTTAGTTATTATCTATTCATTGTAGCTGGATGAACACCAAAACCCTTTGGGCACAAAGCCCCTTTACTGTGTTGGGAAAACTGTTTCTGGCTGAACACCAAAACCCTTTGGGCACAAACCCCCTTTACTGTGTTGGGAAACCTGTTTCTGGCTGGACCTATCAAGTGTGACACTTCAGGCAACGAAGTTCACTTTTTTTTGAGGAATTAAGAAAGGTGCAGACAAAAAGTGAATAACTTCAGTCTTTTTCCCCTGACCAACTCTCCCATCGGCCAGAGTTCAAGAAGAGCAGTCCACGCCAACTTGTACCTACTTTTTGTGACGACGCCTTCCAGGTGGATGATGTTGGGGTGGTCAAACTGCCCCATGATGCTTGCTTCTCCCAAGAAATCTCTCCTCTGTTTCTCTGTGTAGCCCACCTTCAGGGTTTTGATAGCCACTGGAAACTCACGCTTTCCCTGCAGCTTCAGCCGCCCACTGCAGACTTCCCCAAATTCACCTTCAGAGAAAAGTCAGGAAAGATGGGATCACAGCGTGTCCAGGATGCAGCTCAGCCTCAGCTGATCAAAACTACGCAGGGCTGCCCTGCACTCATGGATGTGGATTGCTGAACATCACAGTATCACCATCTCAAATAGCTGGTGTACCAAAAGCCAAGTAATTCATAAGCACAAGAAAACTAGGAATAAAAATGTATTTTTCCTTTATTTAAAAAGCTATGCTTTATATTCTACTGGGCTTTTTTTTCATTTCATACTTTTGTCTACTAGATGAAAAAGTCCTGTCACATTTTATACCATGGCCCTGTATGGATAGGTGTAAAACACAAACCACTTGCTTTTTAACCTTCCTTTGGTAAGTTACATAGCTGGAATGCTGTTAGCTTTTCACACTAACATATATTTCCATAGAATATAAGCCCTTTACAATTTTATGACTACTTTTAAAAAAAGTAACCCAAATGGATCTTTTTTTCTGGTGAACAGTAAATTACCCCCAAACCCATAATTTTACATCATTGAAAATACTCCTAAAGTTGGATGCAAATCTAAACAAACAGCTTAACTGAAAAGAAAATGGAGTTTCTTCTTTTAACCAAGGAAGTTTAAAGCTTTGGACTTTGGTTTGTGCTTTTTTAATATCCCAGATGACTTCTTAATTTTTTCTTTAAGACTGGCCTTTATGAGGGAGGTGAAAAAGGTTAAAATGGCAAAAAAAAGTGAAAATTAAGTGACTCATTTCCCTTAGCATCCACTGAAATAACTCAGCTTGGCCCAAATGTGACCATTTTTTGACACTTTCAGTTCAGTTACTGCATTTCAAAACTGCAGACAAAGGGAGGTTTGTCCCAAACTTCAGTTGGAACATGCTCACCATCACTTGCAGAGTAACTAACAGCTCAAATATTTCATGGCCCTTCCCAGATCTCTTATATTAAGAAAGCCAACCCTTCACGTTGCTAAAGGTCATGAAATGCATTTCCATACCAGCTCCAATAACTCTTTCAATAGTTATGCATGAAGCTTCAATCTCCTTAGCAAACTCGTGGACAGCTTGATTAGGGTCCTCATAGGTGTGGGGATCAATGTAGGTCCTTACTCCAGGCAGCTTAACTGCAGACACAAATTTAAAATATTAACGGCGCATGACAATACGGAAGATGGGCATTACACACTCCTGTCCCTTGAACTCTGCTTTGATGGAAAACATTGCAGCAAGGAAGTCTACTTCTATGGTGAAAATTAATACTGTTCTTGGAAAATGATATTTAGTTTATATGTGATGCATGTGCAACTTCACTGTATTTAGAAAAGTACATCATAGTGCTCAGCTGGAATGATGTACAGCTAAAAGTCCCTTTTGGTGCTGTGTAATGGGCTGGTCGGGGGTCTGGTGCAAAAGAATCCCTTTCTGGAACTGGAGAGAGTACACCAGGAGGAAAAGTGCAAAAACCAAGATGTTACAGGAGCAACTTGTGAAGCAAGTTGGATGGATAGGGGTTGACGGAGAGCTGAAACAAAATATGCTCTACCAGTCACATATTAGTTAATTAATCAGCCACATTATTTCAGATGGCCTTACTGAGATTTAAATGAACTGCATATTTGCAGTACAAAGCCTGTGGGTTGTACCAGTATAAATATAATCGATAGTAGGCTTTTTCTCCAGGATTTGAGAGGGGAAAAAGTATTTTCATTATCCATATTATAAGTTTGTTTTGACAATCATTAAGGCTACTCACATGAAGAATTGCTCATCAGTCTAATGAGACAGCTACATTACACTGTGGCTCTTAATTGATTTGCTTCCTGCTGCCTTCATTATATAGCACTAATGGAAATTTGACTTTCACTCAAGATGCGTTTGCCTTTTCCACCCCAAAAGGCACCTCACTGTTACCCATGCCCAGATCCCACAACACTTGATGAAGGAAGGCTCTTCAAACGCTGGTTTTGCATGAACGGAAGGACTGATAGTAACCATGAGATTTACTTTCTAGCATCACTGCAGAGGGTTTTGTATACAAAGGCATTAACACAGCATTTCTGAAAGCTTCCTATGACCAAGAAGTAGGTGTTATTCCTCACACCTCTGCAGAGGCATCCAACGCAAAGAGTAGCAGTGGGCTTGGTCCTCATGGCTGGCTGGGGTGAAGCAAGGGTTTCAAACAGGTATTTTGGACTGATGCATTCAGACCACAAAAATGCAGAGTTTTTACGTGCTGACCAGGAAAATTAATAGCACCATGGGTCACACAGCAAAGACAGAGGAACAAATCAAAATGGCTCACTAGAGAGATCTGTTGAAAACGTACAGGTGTGAATAGCTCAGCATATATAAGGGTTGTTCAAATGTTCAGTTCTCTGTGGGGCTTACAGCAGGGGTGGGGGGGACCTACTGAACAAATGATTCTTTTGTAAATTACCAGCAAAACCATATTTTTTTTTTTCCAGAAAACCATGTCTCAGTTGCATTTCTTATTACCACAGAAATCCAAAGACACATATATACACGTTTTCTCTTTACTCACTGTGGCCGTTGTGAAAATGCATCTTTTCTTCTTCTGGATCTTGTTTAGCCTTGCTATAGCCACATCGCCTGGAAAAAAAAAAAACATAACAGAAGAGTGTTTTCATCTCTGGTATGGCAGAATTCCGTTCTTTACTTTAAATCACACAAAACACAAAAACCCAGAGCAGTGACAAACCCAACCTCTCTAGTGGCTCTATTGCTGCTGTCCCAGTTTTAGCTCATCAATCTACTTGCAATTTTTCTAATGGGATTCAGGACCCAAGGCCTATATATTTTCAATAGGACTTGTGTTTCCAAATCCCAGAGATGCTTCTGAACAACTCCACTCTACCTTACATCTAATGCAGCTATTATTAAGAAGAAAAAAAAAGCCAGAACAGGAAGGACAATGGAAGGGGAATGGGATGCAACATAAGAATTGAAGAAACAAGATCTCCTGGACTGCAGAGCTTTTGCAGGCACTATGTTGTATGTCTTGCATACTCCCCCTTCATCCACTGGGCATTTGCAAGGAACTTGAAATTTTGATACTTAACAGCCTTGTGTGAACATTAACACCTTATACGCATGCCAAGTAATGGCTTAAACCAAATCAAAACCTGTTGCCTCACTGCCTTCAAGGGTCTCCTATGTATTTCTGGCTCTGCACAGCATTTCCTGCACATCTTCTGACTTTCCGTCATTTGCCCTCTGCCCAGCAGAATAAAGATGGAAGAAGACACGCAGTCTCTCCCTGACCTATCTTGCTCCCACCGTAGCACTAGAAAGCGCAAGGATGCTGCTGAATCCTACCATAGAGTTGCAACCACAGTCTTATCAGAATTGCATCTCCCTCAGGGCATCCTCCTCTTAGTCTTTGGTGGGTCTTCCCTGGCTCAGCCCTCATTCTTCTTGTTGTTTTTCTAGGCAATGACTTTGCATTGGCATTACACTTCTTATTTGGTGGCATTTCTGAGATCTGCTTCACTTAGACAACCACAAAGGAAGCCACAGGATAACTGTATAGACAAGGAGAATTGCTATACACACACATACATTTAAAAATATGGGATCAGGTATGTAGGATGCACATGTATATGCCAGTCATTCCAAGGACCTGATATGACAACTGGGTATGGGAACCGGATCATTCTTACAGCAAACTGCATGGACATGAGGCTGAGGGACACTGCTTGGCAGAGTGAAAAACCTGAAACAGACACCTGCAAGCCAGTCAGCATGCAGTGGGACTGCTAGCTGGCAACCTCAAAGAAAGTCTCAGATTACTAAGAAGCCACTTAAAGCTGAGAAACTTGGAGACTTCTCTTCCATTGCCCGTGATTTTTGAGCTAGGGGCATGTGAACACTCCAGCATCACTCACAGCAAGGAGGAGCATACAACTAGCAGAAACAAAACTGCAATTAGGAGGAGGCAGTAACAGGCATCTGCATGAAACATGCCCTCAGCATGAAGTCCTATTACAGGGAACTGCTGTCTGCCTGGATGCAAGGGGCCCAGCAGCCTTTCGACTATAGGATTTTGGTACGGGGTTTGTGAAACAATCACAATTACAAACAAAATCCCGAACATGACAAAACTCTGTCACTGAGCTGGACCCAGCAGAGATGGATGCCAGAGGGTTGAGAAAGGGAAAAGCAATATGAGCTTCTCGAGCTACTCCAGGGAAGAGGAAGCTTACCTTGGGGAGAAGGGGAGACCTGTGTCATAGGGAGAGGAAGGAAAAACAGAGATTGCAAAGGTTGTGCAAGCGCAGGGGAATGGATCAAGATAAGGTGCAGAAGACAAGGGGAAAGCCGACAGGCAGTCCAGGGACACAGGCAGGGAGATAAACAGATTGCAACTGATAAACAGCCAGGCTATCCATGCAGGGCATGATTTCAGCAGTAGCAACCAAGCTGAGACCATCACACTTTGAATGCAAAACCCACAAGAACGGCAATGAGGTGCCTGGACACGTGGATCAGTTATTTGCGCATCTGTGCTCACTGCCTTGCTCCAGTAGCAGCAGTGCCATTTCCTGAGATGGGGTCCTGCATAATTAACTCAAACCCTAAGCACTAGGTCTACATGGAGACCCTGGGAGTAAGGCTCACTTTGAAGCACATTCTGGTGTTCACAAACCCTCTCCTTCATCATTGTACTACCTCCCCCTTTAACTGAATAAACTAGAGATACAAGTTTCAGTATCAAGTCCCACTTCTGGCAACCCCCTTTTTTCTGCTGCAAGTTGCCAAAAGTGACATCAATTTTCTGCAGAAGTAATTTTTCTGGACAAATCCATATAACTTAATTTTTCTTTTAAAAATACACAAATATTTCAATTCATCCTTTTACCAAATGCACATATCCAAGATTTCTTCTCTTTGCCTTTTGAAGCAAATGCCCTCATCTCTTCTTCAGGTTTGGAGTACTTCACCTACAAAGATGCTTTTCTACCATAATCCTTTTTATGACCTGCATCTCCCGATTCTTCGACCATAAAGATGGAGGACACAGAAACAGGGAACATGCCATCCCTTGCATCCAGTGATTTAAGCACACCTTGATGCACAACAGTCCATGTTTTACTGCCCAGGGACACACTCAAAGGGTCAATTCAAACCACTTGGCTCCAGCTGTGCCCTTCTCTCAAGCTGGGTAACACATACAACAACATGTCATATTAGCATATGAAATCAGGCTCTGGGACACCCAAAGAATCATTAAAACAAGCCTTGACAAGACATATCAAAGTGAAATGGCAGCTAGTGGACTGTGACTGTCAAGCAACAGTTGGGTGTCACTAATAAAGCCTGCTGCAAAACCTGCCTGTTGCAATCACTTGTGCCCTTCTTAAACTCACTTTCTTAAACTACCTAGAGAAACATGCCATGTATTTGCTAACTAAACTGCACTTAGTCCCTTCTTGACCTTCAGGTGCTTTAAATAACACACACACAAGCAGTTTTTTCTTCTTTTTCCCCAACTAAATCCCATAAAAATCTTCAATTTCAGATTAACAGTTCTGATTCACTTTGTGAATCTTACTGGCAGATCAAAGATTCTAAATATTGTGGCTTTGCAATACATTTTAGGAGAAGAAAAAGCTCCCAATTGTTTGTGAAATAGTCCATTTCTGCATGTACATTTGCTCTTACTATTTAATGGCAAAGCTGCGAGTGAAAAGCTTCGATGGAAGACTCATTCTCCAGTTTATTATCGTTGTACATACTATAGATTTCCTATATCTTTTCTATATCACGCATAGCAAAAGCATAAATATCCTGACACTCATTTCATCTCCCACTGAGCTGGAGACACTCAGCCAAAAAAGTAACATAATTCAGCAGCACACCTGAATCTCAATTCATTTACTCCTGTTGTGGATTTGTCCCAGTTTCTCTGTCTAGAAAGCAGGTGTCTTCCTTGCACAGCTCCGTGTTTTTCAATAAAGGTATCAGAGGAAAAAAAAAGTGAGACTTTAAATATTCTTAAGGCATCATGTCTTATTTAAAAACTACTTGCAAATTGGCAGGCAGCTTGTAAAATATTTATGGAGCAGATTATAAAAGTGAAGTTGTAAAATGATCCCTATATAGGTTTATAAAATATAAAACGGACAGGTAGAAAGATGAAGAATCCAGCTGGGAAACAATGCCCACTACCTTGCATGGCAGAAGCCAACTCACGGAGAAAAATCCTCCAAGAAGTGAGGTAGGAAGATATTTATTCTCTCTGGACTGATGGAGATTCTTTGTGTCTGCCCTGTGCTTCAGGGTCCCCTTGCTGAGCTCTGTGTGGCCCCTCCACTACTTGAGGCATCCCCCTGAAAAACAGAGGATGCCCAAGGGAAGGAGTTTTCGTCTTCCCAGCTGGGGCCACTACTCTGGTCACAACTCAGGCAAGACACATGGGTGAATGTGGACCTTGGACATCCAACCCCAAGGTGGTGATGTGGAAGAGTTTTACATACTTTTTTCACAGGCATAGGCCAAAGCATCTCAGCACACAGCCTAGGCATTACTGGAAATGCAGGCAGGGACAGCATTTAGACATCCCCAATAAGGAAAGGGACTTCATCTTGCTAGATGCAGTCAGTCCAATTGAACAGGTTGTGCCCTGAAAGTAGCATGCAATCTCCTACCTCAGCTGCAGAGATTTATACATGTATTCAATCTCTTAAATATGAGATAAATGAGGTATGTGTGCTTCTCTGAAACAGAGAAAAAACACCACTTGTTTTGCAGGGGTGAGACCTTCACTGAGAAGTACACCTTCTCAATAAGTCAGTTTTGAGGAATGCATCCAACCCACCTCAAGCTGTCATTTCACAGGAGGTTTGCAAGGACTGCAAGATTGTCATTTTACGAGGGGCTGGTGCTCATTTCAGACTAATTTGTTCCAAGATGTTAAATCAACAAAGCTGCATACGTGTTGCAGAGCAGGACTACGTTCCATGCAGAGGAACAAACAAACACAGATCCATCCATCTGGCCAAGATCCTGTCGCCTCAGCTCATGTGTGGAGACAATAACTTGTTCAGTAAATAGCTTTATCCTTGATAAACAATACCGATATTAAGAGGCAGAACCAAAAGCCTACCACTCGTGATGTTGGTCCATGTTCAGCATTTGCTTTTACTGCTTAAATCCTAGAATAAATTCAGTATCACAAAATCAGGGACTAGTGTAAAACTAACAGCTCTTATACTGGAAGTTACTTCCCATTTTTCTGTTCACTTTTCTCCTGCATGAGATCAGAAGAGCAGTCTGGTGATGACAAGCTAAGATCTTCAGTTCAGTGCAAAGATACACTAGATGGCTGGCCTGAGAGGAACCAGAATAGATTCCCTTCCTAAGGGCTGCAGGCTCAGAATCTTCTTAGCTGCTTTCCCAGCACTGCTGTCCACCTCTACACAGTGTGACCCTGTCTTTGACCCCTGATTAACTTGGATGCCTTACAAAGGAAGTTTCACAAATCCAGCAGTGGTATTTTTAGCCTTTAGTCCTTCCCTGCCTTTGTAGTGAATGACTCCCTACTTTCCTAGACCACTGCCAGAACAATTAAAAATAATTTAAACAAGATACCATTTTCCCTGCTTGCAGGAAGCTCCCTCTGAAGTGATCTCCATAAATCTCTCTAAAAAGGTTGTTGTGCCTTCCTATAGCAGAGCCAATGACATCTGTGCCTTTAAGTAACTTTTCCCATTTTCCCCTCCCAGCTTGTTGCTACATTAGTCTCTGCTGCTTAGGAGGAAACCTGCAGAGGGTGTTTTCCAGGTCAGCCAAGTTTTCTTTATGTCTCTCTCTTCTTTGTAGCCATCCAGTGCATTCCTGGTCTCCTCTGAGAAGTATTTTCCATTGCTGTCACACTCTGGTTGAGGGCCTTGCTGAAGACATTTGTAGCATGACTTGCAGTGAGGGACTGCTTGTGCACTGATGGCACAGGCATGACAGACAACAGAAATACCAGGAGGTTTTCTTTCAGCACAATCATTGTCAAAATGGTGGCTCACGTACCAGAACAACATTTTGCAGGCACACACTTTGAGCTGAGCATCAACTGAAAAGTCACAAAAACCAACCGAAAAATGCTCCATCAGGGGAAAAAAACCACAAAACCCCCTTCCGTTTTAGGGCCTTTGGGATCCGCATTCACAAACTTCTCCCTGGTTCAGGTCTCTGTCAAAGCAAAAATACAGCACTAGAGGACCCCAAAATGGTCTACCTTAGAGACTGCTGTGCCCTACAGCAAGGACTGCACCGCAACCCAGCTACCACCATGCAAAGCCTCAGCATCGCCCAGGAAACACAGTAGAAGAGTTTCACATCTCTCACCAGCTGTGCTGAAAAACCATCCCAATTTAACAATGCATGTGGGATATCTCAGACCTTCTATGGTCTCAAGCAGCTACTTGACGGGGATGGTGATTTCATGAGTTTCAGGAGATTTGGGAGGATCTATGCACAGATTACAGTCAATTCAGGGGCCTAAAATGCATTCCCTTTGGGAAGCAACTCAACTTCTGTCCAGACAAACCAACGGAAATTAAAATCACCCCTCCTTTGATTAGTTAGAAAAGAGGGGAGAATAAAAGAGAGTAGAAACTGGTGAGGCAGCCCAGATGGTGGCAAGAACAGGACAGCATGCAGTACGGACACGCACCTCTTGATGCCCGCAGAGATATGTCCAATACTGCTGGAGCATATCGTTGGCAAACAGCATCATGTCATTGCTGTGTATGTCATACATTGACATGTATGTCGATGACATACAGTTCATTCCACTGACATGCATGTTACATGCCACTAAATACCTTTCCACTCCCGCCTACCCCCTGCCTCCTCTCTGGGGGCAAATCACCACCCCCGTCCCCTTTTAACGACAAGAAGCAGAACTTGATGAGTCTCCAGCATATGTGATGTTTTATTAGACACCTGGTGAGGTGTCTGAATTGATCGTGTCATAACATATCGGCTTTTTTTCCCCTCTTGCTGGAGACACACTCTGCTTCGGGTCACGCTATTTCCAGTTGTTGAGATAGACAAGCTTGGTACAGAGATCAGATGAGAAAGTGATTTCCAGACCAATACAAGAAAGGAAGGGAGAGGCAGACTGCGCACAGAAAACATGGATGGAGGACACGAAGTAGGAGCCAGCACAGGTGGGAACACTGACCATGTTAGGCTCGGATAGGCAACAGCACGAAGAGAAGAAGCCCACCCACAGCCATGATCGCAGCAACTGAAAAGCAAACAAAAAGGCCCAGGATAAGGAATAATCCCACCATCCTGGCAAGGTGCAAATACATTTGCAACATTTTTATATGCATTTCTTCCTTCTTATTGCAACTATTATTTGGACCTTAACACCCTGGGCTGCAAGATTTTCACAGCACGTTGCTATCATTGCAGAAAAATGCCTTGGGGAGAGTGTATAGATCCTGGTCCTGTAAAGCAATTAACCATGTGCTTCCTGTACTTGAGTACCACCGTTAGGATTAATGGGGCCACCCATGTGCTTAAACTTAAGCACCTGCCTTGAAGCAGGCAAAGTGACTTTTTTCCACAAGTGTGCATGTGGTACAATTACAATCTCCTTTGAAAAAAGAAAAGTACTGGATGAATACAAAACCCTGCTTTTGCAGCCCCTTATGCATGTACTCAACTCACAGAGACCTTTCTGCATCTCCTTGTATCAGTGAAGCTTTGCACTCACTTTAGGTATCTGCAGAGGCAGGACTCTGTGAGTCATGTGAGAGCATTCAGCCTAAATAAACTCAAAATATGGTGAGCTGAAAGGCACTGCATGCATCTACAGCTTGCCTTTGAAGGCTGCTCAGCCATTACTCTAGTCTAATTAGACTTTGGGTTCACCTGGCATCAGTAACCCAAGGCTGGCTGCACCCTTTATCCTTGCCAGAAAACATGCACAAACAATTTTTCTGTTACCAAATCTATTAAGATAATTCACCCTGAAAAAGAACATAGTGCAGAAGAAACAACAGGAAAGACTTCAGTACAAGCAAGAGCCCAGTGGTGTAGATATACTCCAGTTAAAGTCAGCTGAAGATCTCACTCATAATTTCTCCTCAGTCATCATAACGTCGTTCTCAAAAAAAATTCTGTGCATATCAGACTTTTATACAGTTTAACTTACAATGGCTAAATACATTAAAATAGCTTATTTAGGCAGAATTAACATTCTGCAACTGCACTGCCTTAAATTATGATGCAAAATAACTTCAGGCATGCAATGATTTACAGAATTATATACTGGATTATGTGCTTACTTAAATTAGAGCTGGTGAAGAATGTCTTCTAAGCTCCTTTTGCATCAGCAAAACAACTTGCTAACATTTTCTAAACAGCAATGCCAATATTTCTTACTATAATTGACAATATTTTCTATTTTCATAATACCCCAGCTTGTGCAGTCATACTAATATAGAAGCAGATCAGCTTTCTCTAAACCACTCCACTGATCCAAGTTAACACCAGAGGTCCAAACCCTAAAAGCACACATAGGGAAGCCAAGCACTATGCATTTTGAGTCAATTTTGTAATTTTCTTCTTTTAACCTTGCAGGATTTGAGTGCAGGGAACTGGTGCATCTCCATAAGATCACTGTGGCTGTGACACTTTAACTTATGTTTCAGATAGGAGGCCCTTTTCCCCCAGGCATTTTCTCATGGTTGCTGCCACCAGACCATCCTACGCCCTCACACCACTCAGCATGCAAAGTCAAAGTTTTTGAAACAACAGTTCAATTTACCTGAAAAGCAACCACTTCCTTAAAATGAAAAGAGCTCACTGTTTTCTTAAACAAAGAAAACTCTTTGAGCACCTCATCAGCAACTGGGCTGCTCTGAGACAAAATCAGTTCACTGCACTGAATGCAGAGCACTTCAGATCTCACTCTCTTTATATGGAAGAAAAAAATGCTGAAGTGCAAGGGAAATGTGCCTCAATGCAGCTTTGCTCCTGCACACGTATCAGCTATACACCTGTGGTCAAAATACTCTGAGTTTTAACACTATGGGAAATCTAAAGTGCTTAGAAACAAACTAAACTGTATCAGCAGACAAAATAATTCACTTTCCAGTCCAAGGAGTGTTAGGAAAGGTAAGAGAACCTACTAATTGAACTGAACAGTTAGGACAAAAGAAGATTTATTACTACTCGTGTTAAAAGGATGACTTGACTTGGTAGATAAACTTCAGAATATAAAAATCCTGAGTCAAACAAAACTGATGTTAAACTCCAGCAACCCGAACATGCACCTTATGGCCATTACATTTGGGTGCTGATGGCTTTGAGGAGGGGCCAAATTTCCCATCTCCTCACTTCATGCAGGGCTTTCTTAAGTCTAGAAACTGAGGAGCTGAAAGCAGAAGTTTTCCAGACAAGACCAAATGCTGTGGATAAGAGATTGGTGTTTAATGAAATACACCCGGACCTCTTCAGAGGACTTTTAGCCAGCAAGCTGACCTATACCAGGGAGCAGTCAGAATGGAACTGAGCACTGTAAACATCAAATTTATCTGCAAAGTCTCCTCTAGCCTCACTGAATCCATTAGCAGACTATGAGGAGAGCCTGTGGGGATGCTCTTGGTCAGGAGCTCACCCGATCCGCTGCAGAATAACAGACGACATGCCCATGTAACAGTGAAAGTTATTGAGCAAACACCTGCAGTGTTAAATCCCCTTTGCTGGGAAAGATCAAGGCACTGAGGTGACACCATCTCCAAATGCCAAGCTGTCTTCAAACAAGGTGTGACAAGGCTTTGAGCTCTGGCATCAAGAAAAGGGCTGCAGATAGGCAGAGAAAATGCAGAAGAGCCTGGAGCTCCAGTGACACCTCCAGGATCTCCACAGCCTGCTGGCACTGCCCTGTTCCTTGTCTAGTCCAACTCTACTGCTTTCAGTTATCTCGGGCACACAAAGACAACACTCCTCCTCCAGTTCTAGCTAAGGTGACCCCTGAAATGCTTATGTGGTTTCCAAACCCAACCGTCCAGAGAGCAAACTTTAACAAACGTATGCTAGGAGGACTTATCAACAAACTTGGCATTGTTTCAAACCTTGGGCTACATGCTTTATTAATGAAATGTATAAATATCATGGGCCTCAACAACCGTGCCTGCAGTTAATGCAATTAATTTACCACAAGTCTGCAGATGACCCTGTGAGCATTTGGAATTAAACTACATTTTTAGTTGCTAGATAGAATTCAGAGGGGCTCTGCCATATATAGCTGTGGCTTTTAAGAGTTATAAGTTGAAGTCTTGGAATTATGATAAATGAAAGCCTTGTTTGTTGCTTTTAATAAGCTGTTCTAATGGGATGTTCTTCAGAGGTTTGCAATTAGAGACTGAAATACTTGAGGGTGCCTGGGAAGATTTTTCTAATCCTTCATGCAGCCTTGAGGGATGGCAATGATTGCTTCCAGCATCTCCAGGTCAGGAGGCCAGCACTACACCTAACAGTTTGTGAGTCAACATGCTTGCTTTAAACATCAGAGAAGCAGCATTACACACTGTGAGCTGCTAGGAATGTATTCCCATTTTGTCCAGAAGTACATGAATGTTTAAGAAGTCACCTGCTCTTCCTGCTGAGCTATCCTAGTTCACACGTTAAAGCACATCTTTGCACTGTTCAAGAATGCAGAAGTCCAAGCAGATGATATCTATTGTAATCACTATGGGAAGGAAAGCAACGTCTTCAGGGAAAGGAACTGCACTTGGAAAGACCTCTGGCATTATACTTCTCTATAAGACGTAAAAGACGCGAAAAAGTACAGATAACCTTTTTTTCTAGGTAAGAGGCCAAGTGCTGCAACATGGTGAACCCCCAGGAGAGGTCACGCTTCTGATTTCTAGCATTCAAAGCAAGGTGAAACATCCACATATTCAGAAGTGCAGAAGGACAAGAGTCTGACTTTCTTCTTCATCCTCTACCCACTTCACAGTCAAGAGAAGACACTGTAAACCCCCACTTCTAAACACCACATCCACTTGGGGTGCTCAGCAGGAGCCTCAAGGTGCTACCACTTTCAGCTTGAAGGGCAGAATAGTTGCCTTCTCCAAGTGGAAACAGGACTTGCACAATGCCGTCAAATACATCAATTGCATGAAGGTGAGAAGATTTTGTCACTTACTGCTGCACTACCCCACATTTTCCCTGGTCAGACAAAGTTTATGCCAGCCACTTATCTGTTCATGACAGTCCTTCTATGCCGTTCCCTTGGCTGCTGCCGGAGCAACTCAGAAATAATGCTTTCAAGCACAATGCCTCATGGGCTTGGAGCTTAATTACAGATTTGGTTAACTCTCACCTCCTGTCTGGACCGAAGTCATCTGAAGGCAGATTATCCTGGGTCCCTAAACCTGCCTCAAAACTGCAGAGTGTAGACCTGCTTGCAAAAGCCAAAAAGTGTTTAGAATAAAAGAGGAATAAGGTGTTTAAGTAGCCAAATTTGGCAAGCTGATTGATCTTGGCAGGATGTTAGAGATGGGTGCTACAGACAGCAGATTTCCACACCGGTCCTAGGAAGGTATCACTCTGTGCAGAAGTGTGCACTGGAGCACTCTGCTTTCAGAGAATGGCACTGTACATCAGTGCTGTGAACGCTCCTCGCTGGGAAAATGTACCATCAAAGAGGCTGTTAACGTGATGGAGGTAATAAAAACCTTGACCCAAACAGAAGCAGGGCCAGACTCTGCCTGCTCTTGGTGGATGGGAATTTTGACTTGGCAAAGCAATAGCTTCCTCAACAAAATCCTTCCTCTTGTCAGGTGAATTGTGGGGAATATTTGGCAGCAGGCAGCATCATAAAGTGGCTATAAATCACATGAGACAATGTCCTGCAGGAAGAAGGAAGAGCAGGCAGGAATGTAGAGATAAAAATCCTTTAAAAAGTCCCAACTAACAAAAATTGTGACTCATGCTGGAAAAATTCTCTATGAAAAACATTATCTATAGACTGTCTCCCGTTTCCTACGGAAATATCAAAAAAGCAAACTATTTTAAGCCCTGACACAACTTGGAAAATAGGATGGGGGGAGGTTGTGGCAAAATTAATCCATTTTTACCTTCCACATCACAGAAGGTTGTAAACACTGCCCCAGCACCTAGGATATACATCACAATCTTTCACTCTCTCTATTCCCTGAAAGTCACTTCTTAGCAAGATGCACATATTTGTGTCCAGAAAGTAGCCCTCTGCCACCACAGGCGTTGATATTTAAAAGTCTAAATCAGCTAAGGTCAAGGATGGATACTCTGGTGCAGAAGCCCCTAATTGCCAATACCCAGGTGACAAGATTTGTCTTTGCTTTGTCTTTCAAAGGCTAGTTTCTTGCCAGAAAAAGACTTTCTATGTATGCACGACACCGTGAGAGGGGCAGTTCTTGTTGCTTCAAAATTATTTTTTTTCTTAAGTTCTATGAAAAGCTCGCTCTGGTTCTCTGGAAGATCACTTGAGAAGAAAAGGTCATCCATAATGGGTAGCTGACTATAAATGCAGATGCACAGTACACTTCTTAGCTATTTTGAGCAGCTTTTGCAAACATGCACAGCATTGACCTAATACCATTCCCACTTTACTCTGTAAAAGCCCATGCTTTTGTTTAGCAATACAAAGTTCAAAAGCCTGGGGGACTGGAGGGACCAGCAGTCTCTTAACACTCACCCTAAGGCCCTGTCAGTTTTGCAAACAGGACTTGGTTTGAAGGACAAAAGAGGGGGAACTGCTCTGGAGCAGTCAGTCTCCTTCCCACAGTGCTGAAAACCTGACTCCCTACCTGGGTTTGTAGGGAGAAAGAGACCGATGCCACACACCAACAACTGAGGCACCTTATTGCTCCTGCGAGATGGAGCACAAAGATCTTTGTGACTGGATTGTCTGACACAGACTGTAAAATAAAAGTCAGTAACAATTTTAGATTAATATATATTTCAATAAGGAACAAAAATGGCAACCGACATCTAATTCAAGCAAAATTTATAGCCTTGCTTTTATAGCAGTGTAAAATGCACTGTGCTTTTGAGAACACATAATCCTAACAAAACAAAGACAGTAACAACTCCATGTTCTTGAATTCAATACTTGTAGCTGGTTTAATAATAGATTTTCAATCCACTTCTCTTTTTTTGCTGAGACAACTACAGTCTGATTTAGTGAATCTCTTTGATTTGTAATCCCGATTGTTATATTATTAATATGTCCTTGATGTAAGGAGCAGGATAACTTAAAAAAGTGATCAGCTATTTTGCTTGGCATTTATGACCTTGGTCAGAGGACATGTTATTTACAGGAAGAGTTGTTGGGAGCATCTGCAAGTAAATCAGCTCTGAAAGCAGCTTAATTGTTTAGGGCAAAGCACATTTAGTTTCAAATTCCCAGGAACCACCAGCTTCAGACACAAAGTGCATTTCCACAGATGGACGCTGGCATGTGGAAATGCCACCATGACTACTGTTCAACTGACCTTTGGTTTAGGGCCAGCTGCCAATGGGAAATGCCAAGCTGTTACTTACATCCATTCAGAAGTGAGAAAACCGCAGATACTTGAAAGTAATAAAAGGGGAAGAGCTGCCTTCGGGTTCTGCCTTCAGGAACCTAGCAGAAAACAAAAAGCCTGCAGACCCCAGAAAACTCCTGAGTCCTATAACTGGAGAGTACTTTCAGAGCTGCTAAGAGCAGGATGACATCCACGTCGCACCGCAGAACTGCTCTCAAGCCTCTGCTTGCTGCAGAGTAGGACTTGGGAGAACAGGTGCAAAAAGATGTCATACAGAATCCTAGGGAGGAGTATCCTAATACTGAGGTGCCCAGGGCCTCCCAGGGAGCCTGGGAGAAGCATGAAGTCAGCAAAGAGTAGCCTCTTTGCAGGAGCTGGCCAAGTTACATCCTCTGCTACAGAGGAAGAGGGTTTTTCTCCTTAGCTCTGCTGCTGAGCAGTAGCTGCTCTCTTACACCAGAAGACAGAACCTGGGCTTTGCTTGGTGTGGTAAACAGTGATGATTCCACCTGGAGTTTAAAATGGTTGTTTTTCTAAAAGCAAGTACAGGAAAGAATTAGGAAAGAAAATTTACCACCCTGGAATGAGGTACTGGAATAACGTAACCACTCCAGAGACACAGGAAAGCATCTTCCAGAAACAGGTTAACAGATTCAGAAAGGGATTATCCCATGACTTGGAATCCATTTATTGTCCCTGCAGTGTCACAGCAGGAGAGTCACTCCACAAATTGTCTTGAATCCATAACCAAGGCAAAGCAGCATGAGTGATACATCTCAGTGGCATCTCTGCTTCTTCCAAACCAGAGCAATTTCTTTGTTTTGCTTTGTTTAATTTCAAATTGTCTGTCATCTTTCTGAGTTTCTGGGGCTTATTTTTCTGTTCTCACAAGTCACTCCACGTACTGGATGGGCTTTAAAATTCACAGAAACTCAAACTGGCTGAAAAGCTCTGTGGTTTTGAAGCCAGTTTTCTAATAGACCAAACCTGGGTGCTGGAGGCTTCTCCACCACCTCCATCTGAGGGACTGTGCTCTTCCCAGTTCAGGGGAAGGGTTCGAAAGATAAAAACGAACCAAGAGCTCAGCTCCCTGTGTCTGCCCCTTTCCACACATACAGTGTGGCACCATGGGGAAGCTCCTGGAAACCTGCAGCTGCCCTGGGGTCCACAGAGGAAGGTGTGAGTACAAGGGAGAAGGATTAAGGCTGCAGCAGAGGTGGTGACAGAACTCTAGCCAAAAGAGACAAGAGCTTTTATAAACATGCTAAGAGATAAAGAGCTAAGAGGAAGAACATCCTGGAAAGCCCATTAGACAAAAGGACAGAAAGACATAACTAACAAGTACTGCTGACAAATGGCTCAGGATTTGCAACCACTTGCTTGGATCAGAGAGGGTAGCAGTAAAAAGGAGATCTACGAGGGTACACCCTCCCCAGAGGAGTCCTGAGTGCTTGCCAGACTGTGGGAAGAGCGAGAGTTACTGGTAGCCACACAGTAGCGATTCCCACAGCCACAGAGGGGATCCTCCACCTGTGATTCACTCCCCAGATTCCTCCCTCCAGAGTTGCCAGTTTACATCCATAGCTTCCCTATGGTCCCACATGCAGTCTCCTGTTTGCACTGATACAAGCACACATCCAGGCTGAGGGAAGCCAAAGTTTACATTCACCTGCCCTGTTTGAGTAGGAATTTGAATCAAAACCTCTAGCCTTTAAGGAGAGACTTGAACTCCTGCCTACTGTGTTCAGAGCCAAGTCTTTTGACTACAGCTTTCTGGTAGGGCCTGGTGTGAATTGCCTTTAGCCATTCACCCTCCCCCAACTCCTCTCTGCTGCTGCATGCTTCTCATGCAGACAGTAGCATTTACTTTTCCATTTTTAAGCCCAACAAGTCACTCAAAGCAGACGACAGGAGCTCTAACGGCTGAGCTGGAAGAGACTGTCAGTCTCTGACCTTGAGTGGAGATGAGTCTGGCACCACACTTACCTTTCAAGACAGGAAATAACTGTGTTTGTGTCCTTCCACGGATGCCTTATGCATGGGGACCCAGCTGCTCAGCCTGGCTGGATTTCACTGCTCTGCATTCTCAGACTGATAGCCTACCTCCTCTGGTAAATAAGACCCTTGACCAACATACTCAGTGCAGTTCCTAAGCAAGTATCTGTAACATCTCTTAACACTTAAAATATCCTGTAATTTACAGCCACCTTGCTAGATCTGAGCTTAAGACAGACCTGTATCATGAAAGCAACAGTAGGCTGATTGGTACTTTAGAAGCATAAATGTTTACTTTGCACTGAAAACAAATTCAGCCTTATCAGGAGATGCACTTCACACTGCTTTGCAGGAAGGATGTTGCATTGTTTGACTACTACCACAAAAAAATGTACTAATATACACGTAGAATACAAAAGAAATGTCTTGTATGCTGGCTATCATGCAAATTTGGTGTTGCATTACAAACTGATCCTGATACAAGCCAGATTTTGCCCCAGTACCACAATCTCTTGTTCACCGACAAATTCCATCAACTTCCATTAGAGTTGTCAAAGATAGTAGAGCCCAGGCTTTCATCACTTGCCTATGTTTAAGCACATGAGAAGTCAGTGGGGTTGTCTGATGGTTTGAAGCTGAGTGTCTCCCTTCGTGGGAGGAGCTCTCTGTATAATTTACTAACACTTGGGGAACACATCAGTATCCTACACATGAAAAATGAAATCCAGATCTGACCAAAATGTGAAGTATTTGGCCATTATGGTGGGTTTCTTCCCATTTTCTTTGCATGTGTTTTCTTGAAGTTGAGTTTTCTCTGTGAGCAAAGTCCATTGCAAGCTCTGAATGCAAACATATGGGGTTGAGGATACTTTACCTGTAATATGTTCTGCTTATTTTTAAAGGAATGTGAAAACACTCTTGTGCTAATCAAGTCAAATAATCAGGGCCAGCCTCTACACAGATGACAATCACTGGGAAGTGAACTACATCTGTGAGTGAGCCTTTGCCATTCCTGCTTGTCCAAACAGATCAATCAGCCCACCCTTGTACTGTTTTACAGTGCTACTGCTTGAAAGCTTCATTCACATGCTGCTTTTGCCTAAATTGCACTAATCAGCTGAACAGATAAAAGTTATTACAAAAGTTGGAGAAGTATAAATACACAGCTTCTTCTCTTACCTTCCACTGAGAAGGAAACCGATAACCACAGCCAGCAGAATGACTCCCACTGTTACAGACACAACAATTATAGGAATCTGGCTCTGGTCGCTGGATGCAGCTACTGCTGAGATGAGAAACAGAAAATGGAGATTAAGGTTAAAATGACAGTCAGCTCTCATATGAGTCTTTCTAGTGAGGCTGCCAGTGAGGTTTCAAGTCTTACCAGTTCATTTCTTCTTCTATGGTTTGTGTTTTCCCCCTTTGCTGTCTGTTTCTAGTTTGGAAAGGATATGAGTGGAAAGAAAACAAAACCACATGCAACACTAAGCCAAAAATTCAACAAGATTGTATCTCATTGCTGAATTCAGAAACCAAACTGTTGCAAAATGCAGCCCTTGAGTTTGTGAACTCAAGTTTTTCTTCCTGAGTTAGCTGCATTAGAAATCATAGAGATAAAAGATGAAAACCCAACAGGCTCCCATTTGCAGAGAGACATTTATGGAATGTTATTTTTAAGAGACATAAGCAAGATCTCCAAGATAAAAAGATTACCTGCACTTCAAGAAGCTATAAACAATTATAAACTAACTCCTTGTGGCATCTATATCACATGGCCAGAAGGTGCCCTCTGTAAAACAGGAATTTGCTAAGACACATACACTGGTTGGTCTTTTTATCAGCCAAAGGAGGCAAAATTCTTCCAGCCCATGCCTTGTAAAGAGCCCTTCTGCCAAAAGGCAGGAGACAAATCCTGTGATAAAGATGCCAGCAGAAAGGTCAAGAAAGCCGTTCAAGAACTGAGTTTTGACATAGGTTAAGTAAGAGCAGGTGAGCAAGCTCCTGTAACCTGTAAAATGTAAATGCTAATACCCTTTGTATCTTGATTATCTGCCCTACACTGCAAGGGGAAGGAGTCTATCTCTCCCCAGGGGTTTGTGTGTGGGGTTCCCCAAGTAGAAACCAAAGTCTCTTCACCTTGTCCTCTTTGCTGCCAGCTTATTTAGCAGTGTATATTTTACCACCCCAGGGCACAAATTTAGTGTTGTCCCTGCAAAACCAGGTCCCTGGTGCAGGCACTGCTGCTCTGCAGGGAAAAAACTCATTATAGCTCCTACCCTTGTGCCAGCCTGCAATGAAGCTTCATTCACTCTGGGGAGCAGCAGGAATCAATTGCATACTGAAGAAGCCTTTAACTAAATGATTGAACTAGAAAAAGATCCCTAACACAGCATTAACGTTATGGAGGCTATAAAATAACTGAATATAGCCCCATATCAATTGTTAAAAGAAAACAAAGACAAAAAGGTATGTCATTAAACACTGATCTGCAATGGGCCTCAAGTAGTTCTTCATATGGGAGCTCTCCAGTGCTTAACTACGAGTGGGGTGGACCTGCTACAGCAATGCAAATGATATCAGAAGGATGGGTCCTGATACATTAAATATTTAATGTTAACTGCTCCAAAACCCTGCCATCATCTGGAGATTTTATTAGTTTCACAAACTTATGGGGGCTCCTGAAGATGATGTTTCATTGCTTTCTTCACAAAATAATTAAAAACACTTAAAGGAGAACATTAAGCAGTAACTTTTTGCACAGCTCAAGGGATGGGGAAATCAGATAAATCCTGCTGTGATCTATGGCAGCTGGAAAGCCTGAATCCAAGGTCCCAAGTTGGGACCTTGCTGCCATTCAAAGTTGGGGACACATACACACCTTCATTACCCCTTCTCAACTTGGTGACGTGTTCCTAGTCCTGCCCAGCAGACCAGCTGGATTAGCTCACCAACCTAGTCTAAACCCAGCTTTTGCCAAGGTTTTATTGAGGCTAGATAAGCTCAGTGGCATTTGGAAAGGAGGACAGCAACAGCTTCCACTCAAATAAAAAATTTTCACTGAAAAATGAAGCCCTGGCTGCCTCATGGTGCTTTGCAGAATTGCACATGCAGGTAGCAGAAAGTAAAAATTCCCAAAGTTTGGAAGAAGGGAAAAGTCCAAAGCAGGCTATAGCTTCCCCTGGACTGCATTTCTCAGGCTGTTGTTGTATTCTTCCTCCAAGTGCATTAAAGATAACTACAGAAATCTTGCAAATTGGAAACAAAACCTGTTGTTCAGTCCAAATTATTTGGAGACTGTTTTTGATTCTCAGAACAGTCACTGACAGGTTTTCATCTGTGCTTGAATCAAAATAATTTGCTTTGGCTCTAACATGAAGTTCACATCTGAACTCTGAAGTAGCAGTGAGACTTGGATCTGTGCTTGTTTTCAGATTTTTCAGGACACGCAGGAAAGCAGTGAGAGTCTGGTCACTCCTGACACTAATATTGACTTTATATAGTGCCTCGAGAAAAAAAAAATCTTTTTATAAGGTTTTAAATGTCAAACAGAGATGTATTTTGTAAGATACTGAGGCTAACATTGTATTTAAATTCTAGCAAGAGTTTAAACATCTTGTTGAGACTGGTCTCAGCCAGAGTTCGAGTCCAAGAGAAGAACAGTTCCCAGCTCCCAAACTGGGGACTATTCAGTAGGTATTCCTCTGACTACATCAGCAGCTCCTAGGTATCAGAGAAGTACCTATTTCTCTGCCTTTAAAATGCTAAAAGGACTAGGGTGCAGGTGCAACAAAATGGCTCAAGACTTTTCTAGTATTTAAAGATATTTCCACATGATGTCCTCAAAAACCCCTGATGAACACACGATGGACTTTATGGAAGTGCCACTATTTTGAGACCAGAACTGTAGGTACTAGATCAAATGTTCATGTATTTCATGTATTACTCCTTAATAGTCTGGAACACTATTACTCAAATGACTTTAAACTAGAAACTTTCCAACTGAGAGCAAAACTATATATAATAATTTTTGGCATAACATGATTTGGTTGCTACTTATAGGGCACGATTAATGGTTAATACAATAAGATATACATCAAATAGACCATTCCTATTGCATTAATGTTTGCATTGTGATGCAATTTTCACTATATTAGCTCAATCACTGGCTCCACAGCTACATCTGCACATATATAATGATTTGTTCAAAATCTATTACAGCTTCAAAGGTAGCATGAATTGAAAAGACAACTTGGCATCTTCTTCTCAAAGATGATGAATTTTAAATGAACTGGAGTAACAGTAATCAAAGTATTGATGAATTTAAATTTCCAAGGAAAACACAGAAAATAGTCTCTTTTCCACAGGAATGAATAGAGTATTTCCACCACAAAATTTCTCTCCCATGCAAAAAGTATAAAAAAATTAATAAATGACAGCTGTACAAACTAAAAGACGTAAGACATACTTTCTGGTGGAGAAAATTATATTTGACACCTCAGCAAAAATTCTGTATTTGGGACAAAAAGAATTTCCCCACAGCTGTGCCTGAACACAGAAGAAAGAGCAGCTGAGCCTCTGCGTGCCTCAGGAGTTCACTCTGCCACAGAATCTGTTCCAGAATCCAGACCTGGATAATCAGATTCAGTAAAAAAAAAAAAAAAAAAAGAAAAATAGAAAATTTCAAACCCCACAAATCTGTACCAGATCAAGTAGAAGTCCTGCACATGCAGTGCACATTTTTTTCCATTTCTGATCACAAGTCAAACTCCTTTCCTTGAGGCTGTGGCATTGGCAGCCAACAGAAACTATCTTTTAACTTGACAGGAACTTGCACCAAAAGACACTAATGCCTGTTAAACTCCTCCCCTTGCAGAGAGGCACTATTTCAGGTTTTTTTCCCCAAATACAGATATTTAAGAGAGCTCAGCATCCTCTGCAGAATACCATTAAGAGGTGTGGAGGAACAGATCTTAGCCCCTCTGTCCCTCCTGAGAGAAGAGCCCTTATCCTCTCTTGCATCAGCTCCCATAAATACAGGAGTTTTCTAAGCAGGGAAAGCCTGAAGACCTCTGCTCACAATGTGGGCTGAGGAGGCAAAGGACAGATATATTCAGTGCACAATCACGATGTGCCTGATGTTTCCAAAGTCAGGGGATGAAGCCAGTAAAAGGAAGAGCTCTCTGCAAAGATATCGATCCCCTGACTCGTTTCTAGTAACTGTTCCAGAGACACGGGCCGACAGTAATTAAAAAGACTTACACACTGGGCTGGTTTCAAACTCAAATCTTCGGCTGAAGCCACCATAGCCGGCAGCCGTCCGGGCTCGGATCTGGAAGACGTACGCTGAACCTGGTTTCAAGCCATCTGCCGTAATTGCTGTCTCCTTGGATTTGATGATGGTGTAGCTCGTCTCCTGGTCCTTTTCCCAACACCCCCCCAAAAACCATAAAGTTCAAACACATAAATAATGGCTCTCAGAGAAGACAGACTCTTAACAACCCCCAGAGCAATGTTATAAAGGGTGACTGAAGCATGCATTTTTGAGGATTTTTCCTCAAAACCCCCTCTCTGAAGGTCCTTTCTGCAGTACAAAATATGAGTTCTCATTTTCAATTTATAATCAATGATTCTAGGAGGCATGCAACTGGCATCTGTAGTAGAAGCAGCTTTCCATCACTCAGGATGCACACGGCCTGGGGCAATGGAAAGGTTTATTATACAAAGATCAATCCCAAGGCACAGGGAAGATAAAAAAGCCCCATTGCCTTAGAAAGGGATTTTAAATTTATACCAACACAGCTTCCTAGTAATGTATCCAGGCCTAAAAGAGAATAATATATTATACATTGTACAACTTTAAGCTGGCATTTCTAGAACCAAGAATTAGACCTTGGGAAGGGAGTAATAAACCAAAACTCCAGGAAAATACCTAATTTTTGCATTGTTCTTCTGCAGCAATGAACTAAAAGAAAAATTGCCGAAATAAATCTTCATCTACATCAGTTTCTAATATGAAACAATTTCAGTTCTTTGATTAAAATTTTGCTCAAATGCTTGGTAATTACTCTTAGAATTATTTACTGTAACACATAATCTAGACAAGAGCTCATAAATTAAGGTCTACAGATTTGAAAACTGCTTTTTATTCACCATATCCTCTCATATCCAAATTATTATGAGTTAAACCAGAGTTCTTAGTAATTCTCTACCAAGATTTCTGTATAGCTCTTAGGATCTGAACTGATTTTTCTTTTTTTTTTCTTAATTTAATGGCCAACTTCCCATAGATAGTACTATACTTGGCTAAGATGCTGGGAATCTCCAAATGTAAGATTACAGAATTTCTCATTTGAAATCTGTTTTGGAGAAATGCGTACACACACACACAAACACATATATATATGTGCCTTTTTTATCATATTAAAGTGTGATTCCTCTTACAGGACCGTGATCTGACAAAACTCAATTTTCCCAAACATTTAATATAGACAATTCTTGTCCCTTGGAAATTAATGCTGTGAATTTACCCTTATGAAGGGCTGAAAATCCAGAAAATACAAATTATAGTAGCAACAAACAAAAAGGATTAAGGACAAAATCCCCAATCTAACTCAATGACTGGTTAAAAAGCAATAAGTCACATCTTTGCTTGTATGTCAGCCAGTTAGGTTTTCAATATACTGTTGGCTTTTACAAACACTTAGACTCTTGGGCTTTTCTATGGAAAATACTAAACTTCACTATCAACCCGAATGAAATAAATCAAGACAGCATAAAGTTGGATTGGCTGGATCTACATCCCCATGAAGGACTTGCACTTCAAGAACTACTTAGTGAAGCTATTTGAGACTAGTTCTGGACCACAAATACAACATTTTTAAGCCCCCTATCCTGCCAATTTTTTGGAAAACAAAGTAAAATGAAGGAATATATGGATTTTTTGGCTTTAATTATTTGCTCATTATCAAGGTTTCTAGAAGCTAATCCTCCCAGGACATTCCATGGTAAGAAAATGTGCCACAACAGTCATTCAAACAAGGTAATAAAATAATTAGTAATGGATTATTTCCAGCAACAGAATAACCTGATTCTTGCTTAGTGCTTTAATCTTGAAAGCCTCAGCCCTATTTAAGTCACTCACACATCTAGCGCCCATTTCCCTCATCTGCGAAAATAATGTTGGTTTTATCTTGATGGAGATTTATGAAATTCTTTTCCCTCTTTGCATGGACTGCTTGAGCAGGTCCCTCTCATGGTCAGAGAAAGAAGAGAGAAAGAATAAGGACCTAGTACTGGTCCTTGTTCAGTGATTTCAGCTGGGTTGTAGACAGAGTTAATGAAATATCTTCCTCAAAACAGAAATTCAACTCCCCAAAAAGTGAATTGTGACTCAATTTCATTATTTTTTTCTTGTTTTCATGTAGAAAATCTGGGTGTTTCAGAAGAAAAAAGAACACCTTACCATTCCAGCTATGGCACAAAACTGCTGTTTGGTCAACTCCTGCAAACCTGATTCAAGGAAATCTAAGATTTCCAAAGATTTAAGGCTGTATCACTCAAAGTATACTATTCTGATAAAGGGCATTTGTAACCTATTTAATTTAAACTACATTAATTTTTTCAGGAAGAGTACAAGTTGACATTGGAAATGAAGACTAGCAGAGGCAAGTTTTGTAGGGAGAGTGCTTCCCATTAGATTGAGAGCAAGAGCTGGAAAACCCAGGCAAGCTTTTAAGCCAGGATTCACTTCTTCGTATCAGAGCACATACAATCTCTTCACAAAACCTTTCTCCTCTCCTTACACTGTGGATGAAAAATCAAGTGAGAAATTGAAATACCTAAGGCGAGGGATTGTCTGATGTTTCTGGGAGGAGACAGATGCTCAATCCCCAACCCCCTCCTGTTTTTAACAAATGAGCAGGCTCTATCTTAATGTGATAAGGCCACAGAGGAATTTGACACGCATATTTAATGTATTTGTTCAAGAGAAGTGGCACACTAATGGAAAGCAACACCCTCATTTCAAGTCTACCTAATCATTTACTGCAAAATCAATCTGACATTGATTTATGCATAAAACCACTCCATTCCCTTCCATGACTCAAATAATTATAACTAAATGAAGAAAACAGTAAAGAGAAGGTACTTGGGATACTCAGCAATCAGTCCATCACACCTTTTCAAAATATTTGATTTCGTATTCCAGGATGATGCCGTTGGGTCGATCTGGCTCCTGCCAGGAAAGGGAGATGCTATTTTTAGTTATCTTCCCTTTTTTCACACTACTGACTGGAGAAGGTGCTGCAAGACAGGAGAAAAACAGAACAGACAAAAACCATTGTTAGCAAGATGGTCTGCCCTGGCCAAAGTCAAACTCCTCAGTGCATTCTCAAACACAAGGCAATCCTTAGCTACTGCAGATCAGCAGGGTCTGTTTTTACCTTGGTGGTATTTGCCCATCTTTAACAAATGGACTTGCACAGCATCACTAGCTCGAGCAAAGGAACAACACAAACTACTGTCAGCAGCTTATACATCAACCCTGTCTTTTCAAGCACTTTTCAAACACATCAACTCCACACCTTCCCTTTTCAAACGTGTCAAGGGCCTACATTATCAGGATTACATATTGATTATGTTTTACTTTGTTCTGTCCTCTTTCAAGTTATATATTCTTCAGAAAACCTTAGATTACATGGGCTTCTTAACTATTTTTTGGATTGCAAGTAGTTTAAGACTAGGCATCTTTTAGCCCCCTCCTTCCAGAAGCAGGGAATATTATGACCTTTATAATTCAATTGCTCTCCATAAATATCACTGGGGTGTTACAGTTCACATAGTGATGCTAATTCCTCTCAAATGGCAAAAGATTTTAATGGCAATCACGGTTCGGAAGTTCGTGGTGTGCTTGGGAAAGCCACAGCATGAAAGCAGCTATACCAGCTCTGCTTATTATTTTAAGATGCAGCTCTGAAAGGTTATCTGCCCTTCGCAGCACACATGTGCATCAGAAACAGGCTTGATCCTTTGTATTCAGTCCGATGTCTGCAGAGACTTTTTAAGTTGTAGTTGCTACCACCCTGCCAGCTCTCTAGCAAAAGTTGCTATGGGCAATGCAACTCTAACACCCCAGGTATTTCATGCCAGAGATTAGGAAACAACACTGAGCGAAAAGAAAAGGGGACAGGCAAAATTCAGTCTTTCATTTTCAGGGCCAAGAGCAGCTTCTCCAGAGACAAAAACAGCCCATGCCTGGCTGAGGGGCTTTGACTCACCCTCCACATGGGCCAGTTCCTGGTAAAGATGACAGGGAGGCTGGGGAGACCCATGGCAAAGATTTTTGTGCCCATATGAGGAATGGAGTGCAAAAAGCAGTAGCAAATGACCACATTTTATCTTTCAAAATGTATTTAGAACTATATAAAAAATCTCCTATATGCAGGATTAGCTAATTATCTTAATACTAAAAAAACTCCCAACACATCAAGTAAAATAAAGATAATAAATAAATTAATTTTTCCAGGTCTGATTTTAAGCCAAAAAGTAAGGGAAGAGCTCCAGATAATTATTTCTGGACTGAAGGCTAGTAGCAAGACTTCTCTTAATGCAAATTCCTGCACCTCAGTCTTGCTTCAGGCCCAGTTTTTCTCACTCCTGTTTACTAATCCTTCCCCAGACTGGCTCTTGCAGAATCCTGAAAGATGTTGGCCATTTCCATATTGATTTCTGCTGGAGAGCTGGCATCAGGCTGCACAGACAACGTTTGCCTGTCAGTTGTGCATCCACCACTGTGCTCGCAACTGCTCCACTGAGTGAGTAAAAACCACCTTGATTTGAATGATGATCATATTATTTATGCAGGCGCTGTACAGTGATCGTCAACAAATTTTCATCTGCAAAAGTCACCTTACCCCCGGCTGATGTCCTCTACAAGTTTTTGGGCTACGTGAAGGCAAATAACAACCTAAGTACAAACTGCTAATCTGATATAGAACTTTACTTAATTAATCCAGGTGCCTAAATACGCATTGTGCATTCATGAGCACAACAAGCTGAGTTGTGCGTGTGAGATATGTGGTCCGTGCACATGTGTATGGTCAGATGTATTAGCTCACAGAAGACATGAGTAGTGAGATCCATTAAAACTGTATGAAGTTTCCTTCTAATGCAAGGAAGCTACATGATTTTCAGAGGCATTGGAAAACCAGTCTCACTGTGTGGTGATTGTGCCAAATAACAGAAGGTTCTACAGTCCTAGTTAAAGAGACCATACTGATCACTTAGATGCTACATATAGGGGGTGGAGCCACCGAAGTACTCAGAAAAAGGGACCTATGCCCTCTGGGACTGTTCTCCAATGCCCCCAAATCCCTGCAACACCCATTCCATGCTTACAGAGCTGGCAGCAGAGGTCTGGCAGGACAGAGAAAGTCAGTGTTGAGCATTAAACCTTTTCAAACTATTAGTAAAAGCAAACTTGAGAAGTGCATGGACGGGAGACCTCAGCCTTCTCTGGTATTGAATGCCTCTCAGGAAGGTGAAAACCATCCAATTCCCAGAATCAAAATTGCCGGACCAGATAATGGACTTTTCTTCCACTCTATTGAGGTTTCCTGAAGTGTTTATAGGGTTGAGGCTCACAAGTGCTTTAAAACCAAGAAAACAATGCAAGTGATTCCAAACTCTGCTGCAAAATCTTTCCCTGGGAGGTTCAGGGCAGTTTAGCTCTCCTTCATGCGCACCAGCATAGTACAACACAAAATAGACCCCCAGCCACCCAAAAACAATCATCAAACTTCCCACACTCCTTTAACAGAGCATTCTCTTTAAAAAGCAGTTTGCACAAAGCTTGGCTAGCTAACAACATCATGGACTTAAATCTCCTGGTGTGCAAGTCTCTAACATGTTCAATTGTGGCTCTACAGAATGCTCTGCTCTACCGGGAAATGGAGGGAAGATAAGAAAATGAGTAACACAACTCTCAAAGTAAATTAGAAAAGGAGTAACCCTATCCTTTTTGAATCGCCTTCAAAAGAAGCGTTAAAGTGTAACCGTGAGATAAAGGCCAATTAAGTAAATTCAATAAATCCCAGCACTGCTGGCATGATATAGCAACTACTCTGCATCCTGAATGCACAGAGATCACAATGCTGTGAAGTGAAGGAAGGAAGGTATACGTATTTTAGCTTTCTTTGTCAAACAAAATGTAATCCAATCCAGGCAAGTGGACAAAGTCTGCAATCATTCCATCTTAAAAGCCTGCAACTGGATACTGTGCTATATGATCTCAGAGAAATAAAAGGATTACTTGAGACTTGCTTTTCAAAGGTCACTGAGTCTGCAAGGGCAGCATCCTCTTAACAGAAAGAAGTCAAGCCACAGAACCCTTCCATTTGGAGTACAACATTTCAAAAAATAAATTCACGTAAGAGTCAAGATACATAAAGCTATAATTCTCATGTTTCTTATGTAAGCAGACAGAAGTCTTGTTCAAATTCCTGCCTTGACACTACAAAAGGTGAATGTACATCGTGAATTGTTGATGCTGCTTTACAAGTAATGTGCATATATGCATTAATTTCTCAGCCACACACTGAAGATCAAAGAGGGATATTACATCATTTATGTTTATGTTTGCTATTTATGAAAACAGCCATGCGTGTGATGAAAGCAAACAGAAGATGTAACAAGGTGTGAAATTGCTAATGTACATTTTTGCTTTCCTGAGACCAAAAATTAATCAGGAAGCAAAGAAAAGCATAGAAAACTGATTCTACCTTTTTGTTCTGTTTCTAACATTTCCTAAGAAGAATAAGGGTACATACCAAATAAACAAATTGAAGTTTCTGCAGAAGATGCATCATTAGTCACATCTGAATAACTACAGGAGATTAGTTCACGAGGAACAGACATTTTAGGACATTGTTCCTCTGCAACCTTTAATAATGACATTAGAACTGAATTAGCCATCTAGGCACCAAACTCCATATTTACAACATACCTTGCTGTGTCCCACTAATGTCTAACAAACAATAATGCTTAGTGGAATAAAATGCTAATTATATTTTAAGAGAAACTAATGTTACCAGGGGAATGACCACTGTACCAAGATAAAACAAATAATCCAGTTTCTACATTTCATGGTCTATCTAATGCTCTCTCCACCCGTTACTTTTGCCTTAGTATTTTTCACTCTGGCAAAACCAAAAGCTAACAGTTCCCCATCTCACTCAGCCCCACAGCCAGTGAAGTTCTCCACTTCTGATAAAAAAATCCGCAAACCCAAACAAACTAACTCCCTTCACCTTCAGTGCAAAAGACAAGCCATCAGCCCAAGACTTTTAATCAGCTTTAACTTCTACCAGGACAGATCCTCACTCAGAGCAACCCAGAGTAGCCCAGAAAGAGATGCTTATTTATGTGGGCAAAGGGACTGGCACCTCTACTTCCTTTGGCCTTTGGGGTATTTGGGCTTTTTCAAAGACAACTAAGGCATCAAAGAGGAAGATCCTACTGCTCCCATCTCTGCCCTGGCTTCTCTTACAGACATCTGTGACACAGATGTCTAGAGGCATAAGCATCACTTTTTATAGACATCTATGCTACGGATTTTCATGTGTTTGCAATTTCATTTACCATGAGTACATATATTCTTGTATGAGTGAACGTCTGAGATCTACACATCAGACTTTTTAATACACCTTGGGGCTCCTCCCTCCATGTGATGCCATGTTTCTTTGCAGTCCGAATTTATGCCAGAAGATTTAAAAGTCCAATTCATGCTTTTGATTAAATCAATACTTTCACCTGTCATCATATAACCAAACAGTTATGTTATCATTAATACACCTAATAAAACCAGGTTTAATTGAAGCAAATGAAACCTGTATCAGAAGAATAACAACAAGAGAAGTAATTCTGGTGTCACTTCAAAAGCCTGTTATATTGCAATTTTTCACTCAGTTTCTAATTAATGAAATTGTTGACTTTTTTTTTCTCAGGCCTTTGGTGACTTCAGAATTTGGAGCAAGACTTGCATTATTCACCAAGTCACACTAAAGGCATGTGAAATTGCAAGCGGCTTCAAGCAGTATGTTCATTTTAAACAAGATAGATGCATTAGTTAAAACAGAAACAGTGTTTGGGGAAGAAAAAAAAGCCAAAACCTTCTCTTTTTATTTCTCTATAGAAACTACAGACTTTTAGAAAAGCACCTGATAGCTCCCTTAAGGGTACTTTTACTGTGGATATTATGCCTGGGTCAGAACTTAGCATTTGAGTAATAACTTGACTTTTGTGTT